CAAGATCGTGTCAAAATCATTCACACTGAAAAGTTCTGCCATCCAAGAATCTTATTTATGAGAAGTTCAGAACAAATTACTAAATTGTCAGCAATGCTTGAAGAAGGACTTTGATTCTTTAATAAAGTAAACTAGTTATTGCATTATTAAAAGCCCACGTTTTAATACCCTCAATTCACAACTTTATTTAAAAAAATAAACATCATCTGTTATATCAATTGCAGATAAATGAATTGCAGCTGATATTACCCTGTGAAGTTTTGCTGAGTAGTAGTTTATAAAGTACTATGAAATTGTGTAACTTAAGTGAAATACAAAAAACAACAAGAATCAGGCTAAATTATGTCAATGTGATAAATGTACACAGTTTTGTCATGTGCTGAACCTGAGGCAGTAATGTTGGCTCTTCTCTTATTCTCTCATTTACTGGAAGTTTCACTTATTAACTTTACAGCATTTTCCAGCGTCTAAAAATCAAGGCATATTTCACAACACCAGACACACACACACACACACACACACACACATACACACACACACACACACACACCCTTCCAAGCCAAAGCTCAGGTCAAAGGCAGTTCATACTTCAAGATATCCTGAGCCGCCTGAAAAGTACATCAACACAGATTTCCAGTGTCATACTGGTATACTGCTACAATGTGCATCACTAAACAATTTATGTTACGCGTACTTAAAATGTAAAAAAAAAAAAAAGTATAGTCAGCATAGTTCCTATTAGTTCAAATTTGTTTATCTGAATAGGTCAATGACAATCCTGTAAATGTATAAGCACAATTCCATTTTTATTTTTTTTTATTTTGAATGTTTTCACATGAAGCAACAGGCAAAAAAAAATTAACATTTTATTTGTCTTCAACTTATCATGAACAGTCTGTGGGCATACAGTGTTTTCTTTAGAAGAAGGAAACACTTTATTTGTTGATTACAACAACTCTAACTTGCCAATAAAGCCATTCCCATCTGCTCTTATATTTATTATTTTGAATTTTTACAAAGTTGTCTTGAACAACAGGTGTAATATAAATAGATTTTTTAACAAATTTCCAAATTACTAAATCATTGAACATAATTATTTGTATCCCAGTGCGAATCATATCTGCCAAAGACTTATTTTATACTTTACCTTCAGGGCAGAATGTCCAAGAGATGCTGCTCCTCTTTATCCTTCAGTCCAGTAATTCCATCAGAGGTCTTTTTATCCTTTTTCCTCACGTCTTTATATCCTGCATCTTAACGAACTAAACGTGTCAACTCTCTCTGTGCAGTCTGTAGCACCCAGAACCTTCTGACGCTGTGATCTGGCTGTTGTTCACTGGTGGGTGGTGTGAAGTCTGTGTCACTGTTCCACTGTACGTTTCTCTGCAGGTGTATTTATCGTAGCTGCCAAGCGCACACCATTTGGTACCTATGGTGGCGTGCTGAAGGACCACAGTGCAACAGACATGGCTGAGCATGCAGCCAGAGCGGCTCTCGCTGCAGGCGGCGTGGCACCAGAACTTGTAAACAGTGTCATTATGGGAAACGTGATGCAGGTACATATAAGACAACAGATCAACAGACACATTTAACAGAGGTAGTGTATTTAACAGAATACACTACCTCTGTTAAGAGGATTATATGTTTTCTGACTAGTGTCCTTGTTTTGTTTTTTTTCCACATTTTAATTTCAGAGCTCAGCTGATGCCCCCTACATTGCTCGTCATGTGGGTCTGAGATGTGGTGTCCCCATCCCAGTGCCTGCTCTCACTGTTAACAGACTGTGTGGATCTGGTTTCCAAGCTATCATCAACGGCGCTCACGTAAGCAATCCACGATGAACATTTTGGCACATACAGTAGAATACAAATGTAGATACATACATATAGTACTTTATATTGAGTGTACCTGTGCACTCTGTCAGGTACACCTGTATAAGGTAATGTAATCCATAATAAATCATTGAGTGGTTTATTGTTGTTGTTTTGAGGTCTGGGTTAGTGATGGTTTTATAAAGGGCTGCTCCCTGCTTATATATTAATCAGGAAGGACAATGCAATAGAAACCCCTCTCAGTGTAAAGTATACCACTACAATACCTTTTATAAACTATAATCTCTGTGAAGTGTACACTTACATTTACAATGTCGACTATGTAAAGATAGATGTGATGACGAGGTATTGTAATAATGTTCAGATTTTACAGGGTTACCCGATAAAGTGGCCACTGAGTGTCAAAGAGCCAGGTCCAGTCATTAGTAAATAAATGGACCTGTAATTAGTATTGCAAAAATATCAGTTTGACTGATGTGTGTTATCTGTTGTTGCTCCAAAACAAAAGCCCGTCACCTTGTGTGTTTGTAGGAGATTTGCCTCAGGGAGTCGGAGGTGGTTCTGTGCGGAGGCTCAGAGAGTATGAGCCAGGCCCCGTACGCTGTTCGCAACATACGATTTGGTACAAAATTTGGATTTGATCTCAAGGTAAGCTTGTGGATTATTTTCTCTTTTCATTTTTAATCCTCCAAAGAGTTGACAGAAAATGCATTTGAAGCCCTGGGATGATCATAAAGATGGCTTGTTATGTAACTCCAGAAGCTTCTGTCACAATGATTTGAACTTCTCCTCCTCTGATTGACAGCTAGAGGACACCTTGTGGGCTGGTCTGACTGACCTGCATATCAAAATCCCCATGGGCATTACTGCAGAAAACCTGGCAGAGAAATACCAGATCACACGAGAAGACTGCGATAACTACGCACACCAGACACAGCAGAAGTGGAAGGCGGGTAAGACTTGGCTTCATTTTTTCAACATCTTTAATAACACTTTCTGCTCATCCTATTATAACATAGAAATCCTTTACTTTTGAGAAAAAAGAGCTGCTACTTAGATACACCTATACAAATTAAGATGACATTCAAGGCCAAGCCAATTTATAATAGCTCAATCAGTCTTTTATTTTCTCTCATAGCTCATGAGGCCGGTCACTACACAGCAGAAATTGCTCCCATTGATGTGAAAGCTAAGAAGGGTAAAGTGTCCATGGCTCATGATGAACACCCTCGTCCTCAGACCACGCTGGAACAGATGGCCAAACTACCCCCCGTCTTCAAGAAGGGAGGGACCGTTACTGCAGCCAATGCTTCTGTGAGTTTACAGCTACAGTGTTATATTGAGGAGTGTTTCATTTCTGTATTTTAGTAGTCTTTTTTACAAACCAGACAAATCTTCCCCCGCCTTTTAAAAGGTTCAGCTGATGTAACATAGCCAAAGAAAGTTGTTGAAGGAGTTATGATATGGATGTGTCATTTGGAACAGATCTGTTTCAGTTTGAATGGGAGAAAGTAGAATACATATTAGTTTAGTTTTGTTTGCAGATTTTAAAAAATATTGCTAATATTGGTAAATGGTATTAAGTAACTGTACTTATAAAGCGCTTTTCAGGACTTCTGACCCCTCAAAGCGCTTTTTACACAACATGTCACATTCACCCATTCCCACACACATTCATACGCTGATTGCAGAGGATTCTGTGTAAAGGCTGGACAACTCTACCACTGAGTCACAGCATTCAAATGAACCCGAGCATTAATCTTACCCTCATGATCTCTTTAGGGTGTATCTGACGGTGCTGCTGCCGTGGTGATTGCAAGTGAAGACGCTGTGAAAGAACACAAACTCACTCCACTGGCCAGAGTTGTGGCCTACCATGTGTCAGGATGTGACCCCAGCATCATGGGCATTGGTAAGGGGGTTGCCCTCACAATAATGATGATGTTCTTCTATTCCTTTGAATGACAAACTAAACTAATGTTGTAAGTGACATGGCTTCCTTATAGTGAGGTTTTTTTTTGATTATCCTATAAGGTCCTGTTCCAGCGATCACAGAAGCTCTCAAAAAGGCTGGTCTGACCCTCAACGACATGGATCTTGTGGAGGTTTGTAACGAGTAGAATAACTTTTACATGTGATCTTTTAGATTGTGTCATATATTTCAATCAGTGGAGGAGGAAGTACTCAGATCCTTCAATGTTCTAAAAACAGTTCTAGACAGCTACCGTATTGTAAAGCTTTGTGTTTTTGAAATGTGGTGTAGCATAGTGAAAGTACTAGAGGAATTGTGCTTGGGAGAAAATGCATCTCTGCTCAAATGATTTGAAGATCTTATTTCTCAGTCCTGTCACTGAAATAATTTTCTTCACGCAGGTGAACGAGGCTTTTGCCTCTCAGTACCTTTCTGTTGCTAAGGCTCTTGGTCTTGATCCGGAGAAAACCAATGTTAATGGTGGCGCTATCGCCATCGGACATCCTCTCGGTGCTTCTGGAGCTCGCATCACTGGCCACCTGGTCCATCAACTCAGGTAACTTTTACCACAGTAATTATAGATTAGTATATCAGGGAAAATGTGTGCACTTAATAAGCTTGAATAATGAGCTTTTTTTTTCCAACAGGCGATGTGGAGGCAAGTACGCTGTTGGCTCTGCCTGCATTGGTGGAGGTCAAGGAATCGCCATCATCATTGAAAACTGCTGACTTAAGAAGCTGCAAATATCTGAAGATTCCTGTAAATGAATGTCTCACACCAACAACACCAATCGTATAAAATCAAATACAAATCACACATGCTAAAAACATTTCCTTAACATGAGTGACTAAGAATTATTTTTTCTCTCTGGCACACAATAAAATGTATTTTGCTGCTTCTATTGTAACTTTTTTTTAGACTATTTCTAAAAAAATGTACAATAAGCATCACTTCAGTGTTGCCTCTGAAGCCCTGTAATGTTAAGAGCTAACTCATACAAATAAAAACAGTGCTCATTAACAGTGGAAGCCAGAGAGTGTCTAGGTGTGTGCCTGAAAATGGATTAAGGTCCTTGATCACATCAACGTACAGCTAAATATTTACTCATAATTGACTATTAAAAAGAACTGTGATGTTTGCCTTAAAATGTTCTTTATCACTCCATTGTCAGGGAACTGTAAAACCAGAAAATGTGTCCTGTGGCCTGTGATCTGACCTGGCTTCAGCAGAACTGATTTTGTATTTGTGTCAGATGATCTCAATAAAAATAATTTTCAAAAAAAAGTGTTATTTTGATGTTTTCCTGATACCTGCACACGTGGTCAAACAAATAGGTGCTCACAGTGCAAATAAAAAAGATGAATAAAAACAGAAGCAAACCTTTCAATCCTTGACTATCATCAGTTTCACACCATCCTGAGGAGAACAAATCTATTTTAGTTAAGCAAGGAAAATAGCTTTAACAGACATTCAGCCACTATAAGCTCCTATTTTAGATCCAATAAAATCTCCCATTGTCTTGACCTTTTTACTTGTTAGTAATCTCATAAAGGGATCCTTAAACTTTCTCTGTTGATTTGTTACATTGCTCAGAATGGTTTTAGGGTTCAGGAAATAATCATAAATTACCATGAAAACCTACAACAAATCACTGAAGGGTGGTATCTGTTAATGTTTGGGTTATAATATAGATCTTAAAATTATAAACAATTTTTACAAGCTTTCTGTGAAGCCCGTTTGTTTATATTATATTACTAAAAAAAGATTGTGTTTTCCGGCTAAAGAGATTGTTTATTATTTTTGAATTTGTCTTTTTTTTTTTCTTTCACTTTGGAAAAGTACAAAGTTGGGAAGTGTGTTGTTTTTTAAGAGTAATTTTCATTATTTCCCCAGGGAAAAGAAGCTCTATACAGTCATTAATTGCTTTATAGTGTATGTGAAGATAAAACGATCATACATATTTGGATAGAAATATACTTTTACTACAGGAACTAAAATTAGAATTTTTTTTAATTCAGCTGAAATCTCGGTGAGAATCAGTCATAAAAAAAATATATGTACGTAGATTTATTTTTATTCTTCTTACAGGCTTATTTTTATTTTTATTTTTTCCATTTTCCACGAAGAGGTACTTTTGGACTACAATGACCATCACATCCTTGTAACTTTGCGTGTTGACGTCAACATGCAGCGTCCTTATATACGTCACATGCCCGGATGTCGTTCTTTTTTTCATAGCCAAGGTAAGACACCCTTGCCTTCGTGTTACTGATGGAATAAAATCTGTTTTCATCCGTGTTAAAGAATAAGAATTACAGTTGCCGGCTATCAGGGGACGAATCCTTGTATATCAACGATGCGTTAGACATCGTTATTATTATGATTTATCCATGAAGTTACTGTATTAATGGACAGTTTGATGTCTCGGTGCCAAGGCCGCCGGTTAGCCATACTGCTGTCTACAACGTTAGCTACCTAGCTCCCAGAAACGTGTTGCCCTCTTCGGTCGTTTTCTGTTCCGTAAACGCCGACAAATCCGTTGTGTCATTCTTCAGGTTTACATTTAAGTTAATAATGCAACATTAAAGAGACAAATGCAAAGCTAACCTGTAGCAGCAGGGTGACTATTATATATTCTGAAATGCTAAGTGCTAACGTTAGCTATATGAAGTTGCATATTTTACATTATAAATTGCTGAAATATACTGAACTACTTAAAGGAAACGTTTTCTATGTTTTTGATTTGTTCTAATGCATTGTGTGAGTTTGATGAAGACCAGAGTTCCCCTGGAGGCTGTTTTAGTTAATGTGTTAGTGTTTGTTTAATGTAGTGGATAGATAAATAAATAATACTTTATTGTCAGCCTTGCCTCCCAGCTGCTCTGTTTGCGGCCCAGCAATTAAGACAAAACACAAAGATACAAACATTACACCAGGAGTTACTGAGCCTCTGTATACAATGAACTGTTTCAAGACTGGAACACTTTCTTGGTCATGTATTTATTTAAAAAATAAATAAAAAGTCAAATGATACTCTGTTGAAGTCTTGCACCTTTTGCACTTTGTGTCAGATGGCAGAGGGAGACAAGAAAGTTTCCAAGAGGCGGCACGGGAGCCGGAACCCGACCCTGGCCCGTGGCATCGGTCGGTACTCCCGGTCCGCCATGTTCGGCCGCAGGGCCGCGTACAAGCGCAAGTCCAAGACCACTGAGACCAAGGTGAGGGCAGACCTGTTACACTCTGAGGTGAATGAGAAAAGGAGTTGTGTGAACATCACATTTAATTGCATATATATTTACTCTTGTTTCAGGTGGAGAAAAGGACAAAGGCGAAGCCCCAAGCCACAGTTGTTAAGACTGTCGGAGGAGACAAGAATGGCGGCACTCGTGTTGTCAAGCTGCGCAAGATGGTGAGTAATGTGAATTTCCTGTATTTCTCCTTAAATTTGTACTTCAAAGTGTTATGCACTTACTAAATGCAGATCAATTATTTGAAGGACAGGACAAGAGTTCACACATCTTTTGAACTTTTCATGAAAGCTGGTAGTTCTGTTCTCCCAATACAATGCACATGTATGCCTTTTGTCCATGCAAGTTTTTCCAAAGTATTTCTCTTGTATTTTGTATAATCTGCCGTTTTCTGCTGTAGCCCCGCTACTACCCCACAGAGGATGTTCCCCGCAAGCTGAAGAGCCACGGTAAAAAACCCTTCTGCCAGCACAAGAGGAAGCTGCGCGCCTCCATCACTCCAGGATCTGTCCTTGTTCTGCTCACTGGTCGCCACCGTGGAAAGGTAAAAAATAATTTCTAACACGTCTTGATAATGACTCCATATAACAGGTTATAGATGTTAACTGTGAAGGCCAAAGAGAACTTGAGGTGTATCTGAAACATCATTATACACAGGATGAAGCACTGATGTTTAGAGAAGACCTTGATTGTGATGATGCAGACAATAGTTTAGACATATCATTCACATGTCATGCGTGATCAAATGTAAACTCAATGAGACTGAAATTATAGAACTCGGATTGAGTCAAGCTTTATGCTCAATAATCAACAGATCCCTATTAAGGACTTTTACTAGACAACAGAAGTATGACACCTGGGCGGGCTGAACAACATATTTCCAACCTGTTTTTGTGATTTTTTACTTATTCATAAAATTGCTGTGTGCATGGGAGAGCGCAGAAACATGACAGCAGAGAGAATGGGAGCGATAAGGACTACTGTCCGTACATCTCTTGTAAATTCACCGGTTGATGTACCTTGCTCTCAAATGTCAATGTACAGCTGCTGATTCTGTGCTGAACCACTATAAATATCAGATTGATATTTATAAACAGTGTTTTCTTCAATAGATACTACCGCTAAATCCCTGTGCAAAGTCTCAGTGGAAAAAACTGCTTGTGGTGCCATGAAGACCTGCTAAACATATAGAAAGATGTTAGACCCATGAAAAAATATTTTTAGCCTACTTTCACACAAACTGGTCTTTAACAGAAAGCGTTAATATTTCAAATGCTGCTTGGTCTTCTCCTGTCACACTGTCTGCTATCATGCCGGTACCAGCTGAAGGCTGTGTGTGACAACACTCAGCAGCTTGCCCTGATTAATGTCACAGCCTGCTGTAGTCAATGCTGTAAACTCAATTTTTAAACAATTTCTGTTCCAGACGGCTGTGTTCTCCCCCAAAACTGGAGATATAGTTCCTAAACACATGTTTGTTGTTTATCTGACTCACACACTGCAGGTACATACACACCCTCTAAATGAATGGTGTGTTTGTGACATGTTCCAAAATGGCCTAGCTCATACAAGACTGTTTCTTAAAATAATGTCCATTTGAGCCAGAGTCTTTATTATCTATTAAAAGCTCAGCTGTAACATCCAGAACATCTGTTCCTACAAATTCACTTCCTGTGATTAGAGATGCACCGACACCACTTTTTTGCAAACAAAGTACTTACATTTGGGTACTCACCGATACAGAGTACCGTTACGAGTACTAAATGCCCTGATCAGCATCTGTTTCTTTGGTCAAAAGTCTCTGAAGCACGGTCACAGCAGGAATTACATCTGATGCTAAAGCATCAGACGAGCTCACTTTTCGTGTTAACTCTTGAAACGGAGCCAAAACGACAACGTTTTTTCCAGAAGTGTGCGCTGCAAGATTGTCGGCAGGTTCATATTCGGGGCCAAATATTCCCAGAGCCCGCTTCTGCTCGGTGAGAGACTGTAGCATGTAGTACGTGCTATTCCAGCGCATCTGCACGTCTTGTTGGAGTCTTCTTACAGGCTGGTTGAGCTGCAGCTGAATGTCTTCCAGGCGGGAGTAGGCTAATGCCGAATGCTTAAAATGTCCAACAACTTCACGTCTGACTGACACCGCGGAAGCTACACTCCTGAGCCAAAAGTCCTTCGTTAACAGTTAGCTGTAGCGTGTGAGCCACGCACGGAAGGCTGGGGAGTGCACAGTTTGCAGTCTGCTTTTCTTTTGTCGTCATTGTTTATGCTGAAAAAACACCGCTGACATCTCGCTTCTCTCCGCTTACCCGTCAAACTGAGGAGACGCCCATCCGCCGTAAAGTGGTATCGGTGCCGTTGTAGCTGCGTAGTCTTAAGAGTATGAGTACTTAAAGGCGGCATCAGACCGATGCCGAATACTGGTGTTGGGTCATCCCTACTTGTGATCATCAGCCGACAGCATCTATTACTGTCATGTAATCTGGGCAACGAGCCCCACACCAACTAGTATATGATTGGCTACCTGATCATACACTGATGTTTCAGTGATGGCACCTAGTGCGGCTAAATAAATACTAAACGAACACTCTGAAAAAGACGCTGGGTGCAGCGGTTGCTTTTGCAGAACCCACATGCTGCTGATTTCACAAGATTTATTGGCAAATGCTCTAAGAAACTAATGTAGTGCATTAGCTGACCTCTAGCGGTTAGAGGCGCTAACTTTTTATCAATGGTTGACTCATCAGCCCTCTGCTACAAACACACTAACATGAAATGAACAAATACCCACTGATCAACTACCGCTATCCGATGTGTCTGTTTTGCCTTAATAAAACAGTTTATTACGTGAGCTCAGAAGCTAATTAGTGGGCTATCCTAGTAGCTCATAAGAGAGACAGTTGTATGAAGGGTAGGATAGAACATGTTCACATAAATGAAACTTTCTTGTTTATAAGGTTCAGTCTTGAGATTGTAGTTGTAGCTTCATTGATAACCTAAAAGACTCTGAACTATTAAGAAAACACAGTGTGCATTGACTGCTCCTTTACACTTTCAGAAGCTCACATCTGTTGTTGATGATTTTTAATCATCCAATAAAATAGTGATACTTTTAACCCAGCTCAAATAGCATATGATGAAAAAAAAATAAAATAAAGGGTGTTATGCATCAAGTTTCATGGAGAAGCATGCTGATTGGTGATTAAATCCACAGGTTGAGTCATGTTTAGGAGTGAAAAAGTTGTATCATGAATGTTGTTGTTTTTTCCCTCAATCCGATAAACCAGATCCATCATCCTATCGGTGGGATTTGTTCTCCATAACCCCACGTATAATTCTGATATTTGTCAATATATTTATTTTATGTTGAGAGAATTGAAATGTTTTCTAACAGTACATTTATAAATAATCCAGTTTATATCAATAAATTAAAACAGCCATTTGACTTACAAAACGTACTGATTGTTGAAAAATTCTAGTTACGAAACATTTTTTTTTTGGTTTCACTGACAGTTATAATCAAACAAAACAGCCCTTTACTTTTCTGCACTGACTTCAGATTTACACTCGTATAGATGTAACACATGCGAGTCTAATGCTGGAATCATAGGACCGGGCAATTAATAGTTTAAATTACAATGTTTGCGATCATGAAATCGAAATGAAACCATTACATGCAGTGTTGAGCTGGTTTTGGTGTGCGTGTGGTTATAGTTTGTTCACAAGAGTACATCACCACTACCTCATCATTGTGCATCTGATTTTTGCTGTAATCGAGCAGCCCTGGTTTTACAGGAAACAGCTGTGGCGTTTTACAACTGAAATTACACTTACCCGTACACCGTTGGTGTAAATGTGGCTGACTTTTTTCCTCCCCTAGTGTCTGAGATAAAGCTCTCAAATGTTCAACATCATGAGAGCATGATCAGTTGCCATTGTCAATGAACGCTTGTTTTCAAAAGATATTGTCCACACAAATGAATTGGTAGTGTGTCCTTATTGTGCATGAAAATAACAAGCATACTCAAAACATGACTATAATCACGCCCTCTATACCAGAGACACTGTCCCTCTCTCCCACACTCAAACGTTACACGGGCAAGTTATGGAAGCATGCGAGTGTGCCTACACACACTTTGAGTGGTGACTGACCTAAATAATGTTTCAGCTATCAAATGGACAGGTAGAGCCCTCTGGATAAAGCAAGCACTGTGTCAAGTGTATTTATTTTTCACCTTCTAAATCAAGTTAATCCTAATACATGATTATTTATACAAGAGCCTTTTAATACGAGTTTTCTGTGGACAGGGTTTCACCTGTGAATAAATGTGGTTGATGCATTAACACAATTGTTTGTGGTTACTGATGATACCCGTGTTTTGTTTTCAGCGTGTGGTGTTCCTGAAGCAGCTCTCAAGTGGTCTCCTGCTTGTCACTGGTAAGGATGAGTATTTATGAGAGTAAAATCTTGTTTATGCAATATTTGTACACAAGAGTAAATTCATTAATGTTCAAAATTAAAATCCCTTAGCAAGTTGAAAGGCTTATTTAAAAACCTTTTTCAATACTCTTTTCTCCTTTCACCCCCTCCCTCCCCTCAGGCCCTCTTGCCCTGAACAGAGTCCCCCTGCGCAGGGCCCACCAGAAGTTTGTCATTGCCACAAACACCAAAATCGACATCTCTGGCATGAAGATCCCCAAAACTCTGAATGACGCCTACTTCAAGAAGAAGAAGCTGAGGAGGCCCCGTCATCAGGAGGGAGAGATCTTTGATACAGAAAAAGAGGTGAACTAACTTAAATGATAAATATTTTTGACCATTACAATTGGTCCCTATATGTGCAGAATGTGATGCAATGTTTTTTGTTTTCTCTCCTGCAGAAGTACCAACTGACAGAGCAGAGGAAAGAAGACCAGAAAGCAGTTGATGCTCAGCTCCTGCCCTTAATCAAGAAAGTCCCTCAGATGAAAGGGTACCTGCGCTCTTCCTTCTGCCTGTCTAATGGTGTTTATCCACACAAGCTGGTTTTCTAAATGTGATGTAATAAACAGTACCACCGTCATTTGACTTGTCTTGCCTCCATTATTCTTTACGTTTTGGTTTCAAGGAATTATTTTACAGCCTTTCCAAAAACATTGCAGTATACCAGGGCTCAGTATATTTTATTCTGAGATGATTGTCTTAAGCCTATGGCAACTATGAATATAAAATGGTGTCCAAGGTTTATTCAGCATAATGGCAACTTGTAAAAAATATCTGCTGTATACCACTGACATATTGTATTGAACTAGACTAAAAATAGACTCTTATTGCAGTTTTCAACTTCCAGGATGGTGGCTGAAATGTTAGTAAATTAGGTTCAGGGTAGTAACCACTTGAGCTGGATCACAGGTTATTGTATGAATACATGACCTGAAAACAAGAGCATCATGTTATGGGATTTAAGTTTCACCATTTAATTGGTGTATTATTGCACAGAAATCACCACAACAGGTATTGACCTAGACAGCTTAAAAGCTACGCTTTATTTAAAAAAATGACACGTCTAATGTAACAAGACAAAAATAAATACAAGTGTTTCATCTCTTTAACATGGCCACGTATTTTTATCCTCAAAAACAAAGTAGAAAGCAGCACAGAAAAAGGCAGCGGCCCCTTGCCAAGGAATGATAAGTGCCTTTGTCGAGTCAGTCAGTACTGTATGCATGGTCAGCTGATGGGGAGAAAATGCGTTCTCTCAGCCGGACTTGAACAGCAGAATGGCCACCTGACCCAAGTAGAAGTAAATGAAATGCTTGGTCTCATGAGTCACATAGCTGCCAAAGTTTCTTCCAACGATGCAGTGCCAGGTCGGGTTATATTTCTTGTCAAATTCCTGTGTGGGAAAATGAAATGTCAAATGTTAGGAGATTAATTAAACCAAGACATATCTTGTAAAAATACACTGAAGTATAGTAAATAAGACGAAAGTGAAACAACAACCAGTCTCAAAGGTCTCATCTACCAACTAATACACCCGTCTGCACTCGTGATTTTTACTTAGAACATATAAAATTCTTTACCTAAATTAAACATGGCAACAAAAGTAGGTGTTTTCGGACCGCCAAACTATTGGAACCCTCCCTCCTTTTTATTGATTGTACAGGAACCCTATTTAAGTCCTGCTACAGAGTAGGTTACATGGCGGCGAATGCGGACAGAAAAAAGTCCTCATGGTGTGTAGTTCTAAGAAAACTCCCTAGTGGATAGTTCCTCTTCAAAAAGTCCCCAGACCTCTGAAGTCCAAAACCATCTTCATGATCACAACAAAAATATTTTCCCAGCATTCTCAACAAATTTGCAATTGAGAAGAAATTGAATGGTCCTAAGTGTTAAAACTACATTTCTATAAGAATATTCATTAATTTTGAGCCGGGTGATTTTATTGTACATCTTAGATCTCTGCCAGTACGATGATTTTAAAAATCATTTTAGGCCTAAAGGGGTAGAAAACTGGAAAGTGTATGTTCTCTACAACAAGAAGTGCATGAAGGAGAATATATATTTTCCCCCTCATAGTTAGATAAGTGCCATTTCCTGTACTAGGCAGGATCCAGTAAGTAAAAAAAAAAAAAAATGTGGGAAAGTGGCGTTTGAAGGACAGTCAGTCCAAGAGGAGCAGGTTTCCACACAGAGTGGAAGCAATTGCAAATACCAGTCTGGGTGTGTAACAGGAAGGATGGGGGGGGGGTATGGAAAGTCAGGGAGCGCAAGCTGGCTTTTACGTCAGTGGTTGCAGTCCGACAACTTTTTTAAAAAACGTCAATTAAATAGAAATACAAGCTTTGTTTGGAATAACAAATCGCATGGTTTGAGTTACTTAGGAAAGCCACAATGTGCTTTGGATTAAATGTAAGGTGTTGGACGCGTCGGCAGTGCATTTACCTTTTTGATGTATGCTGCGATATCTTTCTCGATGTTGTACTTCTCCAGCGCCTGAGTAGCACACTCCACGGCATCCTGCTGCATGTCCTCCGACATGTCGGCATTTTTGATCACTGCCTTCCTTTCAGACATGGTTGCCCTGGGAAACCAAAACACAGCGGTGGAATCATCATCATCATCATCTTCACAGGCGCATTGGCACGCACCAAGCACCAAATACACATTCAAAAACGCTATCAGGTCTAAATCCATGAGCATCCGAGAAAAAAAAAAAAGTCCTCATCCTCGTTTGTCTTTTGAGAAATAAATCAAAAGCATTCGAGGACTTTTGAGCAAGAAAAATAAAATAATAGTGACGATGCTATCATTACATAATAACTGACACATCTCAACGAGCCTTTTCTACAAGTGTTGCATAACTTCCATCAGCTCGCTGGATGCGCGCTCTGCGTAGTTTCTATGGATACGCAAGACATTTGAGATTATCGTCTCAAATGTAACCCCGAGGTTTCAACCACAATCATATGACACATGATCCTGGAAAAATGACAACACAATCCAGCGATTATAACGTGAACAAACTCGCTTTCAAACGTGCACGACGCCGTAATAAACACCACAACATCATAAATACAATCGTTTGGTATAAAGAGGGAAATTTAATTTAACTGAAGGTGCCGTAAGAAAACGATTTTTACTCGGAAAAACCTCGCTACGTTTCTGATTTATCCACGATGATCTGTTGATTACCTTCAGGCGCAGGGTAAGTAGCTACTCATTCATCCCACAACAGGCGAAAATACCGTGAAATAGTGAACACAGAGGTTACCGATTTCTAATTTATAAAGACATTAAATTAGCTATGTTGACATGTTCCGCATGAATATAAGTTAAGTATACCTACTTGTCTCCTGTTTAGTGTTTATAATTTTTAAAGAGACGACCGCTCCGTCTGCGACAACTCCCGCGAAGTGGTTGACACAAAAGTAATGTGGGTGTGTGGCGGTTAGAGACTGCTGCTTTGACGCGTTTCAATTGGCTGATATTAATGCACGGCTCGCTGTCATTGGTTTAGCCCTGTCAATCTTTCTGGTGTTTCTGCCTGCATTTTGTTTCAACCCATCATGCACTGCGAGATTACAGGTTGCCGTGGAAACCACTGTAAATAACATTCTCATGCCGTCTCACAGTGCGACTGCATTGGGGCTCTCTATGAGCTTGTAGAGAAACAGCTGGATAAACGCAACAGTTTGTTTTTTTCAGATGCTGATTCTTAAGGTTTGCAAAAGTATAACATTATTTGAAGGGCCGTTTTGTCCACAGATCATATCTGGAGTGTTATACTGCCACCATGCCTCAATTCAAAAATAATCAAAATAAAGAAGTTTAATGTATACATGGTCAAAAACAATATTAGTTTATATTTTTCAGAAGAATTCAATCTAATGGAAAAATAAGTCAAATTTAATCTTTATGATTTAAAAAAAACCCATTTATTTCACTCATACAAACTCAAAAACTATAGAGCAAATATAGAGCATTGTGTGTACCACATTTTCCAACAACATTTTCTCAAATGTTTACAATTCTCCACATACCAGACTGAATCAAAGTTGTAATCTCAAAGCAAAAATTCCACCAGGATTTGTTGTAGTGGGATTTCAGTTACTAGGTAAGTGTTAACTTTATCTGCCACTTTCAATATGCTCCATTGGTTACAAATATGCTCTGAGCCCACACAAATTATTATCAAACAACCACATACAAGAGATGTATCATTTCTGCCAGTGTAAAAGTCGTTTTCTATCAATAACTGAGGTGAATGAAAATCCTAATTGTTGTTTAAAAATGATCACTCTCTCCCAAATACTTGTCTATTACTAGAACTAAGCCCATAAAACCAAAAATAATTGAAATCATTGTATTCATTGTAGTTATAATTTTCTTTTGACAACATCGGTGAAACTACAGGTTCAACACACCAACTAACATTTCAATGGTGAATAAAAAAAATAAATATAAGACAAGATATAACAGTGATACTGCTATCAAGTATTCATGTATAACAATTCTCCCTTTTAAGTTTGCACAACTTGTCTTCAATGGTACACTTTAAAAAATGTAGTGATGATACAGGTTCTCACTGTTCATTCTGACAAAGCTACGACAGCAACAGATCCCACCCTGCATAAAGATAACCACTCTTGAGTTCTGTTTTAATCTTTAAAAAACAACAACTACTCAGCATGATTTAGAAATTCAAAGCTAAGACCAGAAGCCCTAAAATAGATACTTTCCCGTAGAGCACCATATTCTAAGTAAAATCAAATGTATTGTTCAACAAAGTTCCTTAAACTTAAAATGTCTCTAATATTCTGAAGACTTTTTTCCATCAAAACCGAAAATTAAAATGTATTTCACTGTTTTTCCCACTCAATAAAATAGTTGAATGGTTTTTAAAAAATTGACACTTTAATACACACATTGGTAAACACGCATCAGATCTTGTTTGTGGCTTCAAAAGCAAACAGATGTAAGTATACGCGGTCCTTTGCATCACTCGCTGCGTTCTTTTGGCTCCCTGTACTTGTAGTGGATGTATTCAAAGATGTCTCTTTCACTATCCACCAGCAGAGGCTCTCCTGCCATGCCTACAACAGATCAACAAAAACAAACAGCTGATATTAATACTGAGAGCGTGAATTATTAGTCACTGACTGATCAAAGAAGTCACACATTGCTGGCACAGAGTTCACCAAGTTCATTTTGACATATCTGACTGAGACTCACCAGTGACTCCAAGTGGTCTTATTGTGTACTCATTAAGAGTGAAGCCCTTCTCCAGAGCATGAGTTCTCATGTTTTTATTGAAGATATCACTTCCAGTGAAATACAGAACTCCACAGTAGTACTGGTCCTTTGGAATTAACCTTTGAGAAATGGAGAAATGAAAGTTAGAGAGCAGAAAGAATGATAAATAAGAAGTATGTATTCTAGTCTGCAGAGGCAATGTTTTAATTTGAATATCACAGATTTCTCTCTACAGACATGTGTCTTATAATTCATCACTATGAACCCCTGCACACCTGACTCAGTCCATGGTGGACTGCAAAAACATTGTATATACATAATGCCTAAACTGTAAATGTTGAGAGAAATATGAATAAAGATAAAGGTAAACTTTATTGATCCCCCTTAGAGGGACATTTTGTTGTTCAAAAACAGGAGTATAATGAGCAAAATAGCTAAAAGTTAAAAAACAAACATATTTACATTAATTAAATAAAGCAAGAAAAATACAATAGAGATAAAATATATACTATATACACTTTCACTTGTGGAAAGACAGAGGACAGTTCTTATGAATAAGGGCACCTGATATCAATACGTCTGTGAAGGTACTCTTCTTCATCCTCATCGTTCTGCTGCAGCTGGCAGACTCCCTAAAAAAACAAGATCCAGCACATCATCAAAATAGTAACGCACTTTATAATTAAATAAACAATCTGAACACCATAACCAAAAGATGAACATCAGCACTGGCCTCACCATGAACTTGGTGTCTCCTTTGGACAGAGTGTCTGTCACAAACCCAATGGACTCAAAATGCTCAACCACTCTGTGGAGGAGCTTAGGCTGAAAAGAAAAAGAAAGAAAATAAATTCAACAAAAATGATTTATACATACAAATTCAACTGCTGTTAAAGGAAGCACGCTGCATATTCAAAATGAAGACAGTTACAGTCATGTGAAGAAACCAAGAAACTGGAAATGGCAGAAAATGACACTTTAATAAACCTTCACTAAAAATCTTTGACAGGACCTTGAGGTCAAAAAGCAGGTCCTGCAAACAATCACAGGCGACATTAAATGGAAGCTAAGTGACAGCCTACCAATTTACAACCTGCCTAGACGCACAACCTCACCCACCCTTTTAAAGGCCAATATCCCCCTCTGGCTTCACTCAAGAACTCAAACAGAACAAAGAAACAGACTCTGCTCTTTTGATGGTTTGAGTGTCAAGAATTGGTTGCACATACCCACTTAATCAAATAAAGTAATTATGTAAAATGTGGTCCTGTATTCAGTTAATGAAGATTTTAAGTTTTAAATTCCATTCTGTCTTACACGCTGATCCCCAAAGTGCAGGGGTGATCTGTTGACCGCCATCTGCTCATCCCTCTTGGGGGAGAAGTAAGTAAACAGAACACTGACACAGGAATAACTTCAACAATTCTTGGCTTTGCATTTGTTGTTCTAATCTTCTTCAGTGTTGAAAAGTGGTAAAAGGACTTGAGCTTGTATGGCACATTTGAGTCTTCTGACAACTCCTACATTCACCCCACATTCAAACACTGATTACAGAGGCTGCTATGTAGAGTGCCCATCAGTGTAAAGAATTGTGAAATGACAAGTATTTGATGGGAGGAGAAATCTTTGTGCTGTTGACATCAGACACCAAAGCTCCTATTTTAACTGAAATCTATAAAACAAAAGAAGCAGAGACTCTAAACTCATCTCCAGAGCTAAATCATTTTCTCATGTTGCTGATCTGCTTTTCTACATGCTATGGAGGGCCTTGTTCAGGAATGTTGTACGTTTCTTCAGAGCTTCATTCAATCATCACCGGCCGCTCATCACTGTGTTCTTCACATTTATTCTTTTTTTGTTGCTTTGATTTATTCCTTTACATGTTTGTTTTACAGCTCTTGTTTGTTAATGCTTTTTTTCATTGACATGTATGTTGATGGTCTGTAAATTTGCCTGAAATGTACTGAAATATATTTTCTAATCTATCAGGACAATAGTTAAATAATTTAGTATATTCAAAATAAGGCAGATAAACAGCAAGCCAACAACTCTCTGGAGTGGTTTAATATAATTATTAATGAATGCTTCTTTTTTTTAAACAAGATAAATTATTTTTCTTTGATGTCACTACGTATATTCCAACAGTGGAAAAGTTTTACCTGTTTTTCGGTCTCAGAGGTGTAGTCAGGGTGGGTCAGCAAAATATCAATATCACCACTCGATGCAGCACCTGGAAATGAGAAGCAAGTGAATCAGTTTTCATGATTACACTAAGTGTCTTCTTATAAACCGAAACATCAACAGAAGTTAACTTGCAAGGGAAGTCTCACCTCTTCTGTAGCTTCCACAGATTGTTCCGATGTACTCTTGATCAATTTCCTTCAGCTCTTCAAGAATGAGCGTCTGAACCAAATCATCAACATCAAGTGTAAGAAAACTCTTCTATAAAACACATTTTAATGTAAAGAGAAACATGTAAGTGGTGATCTGACCTCCATCTTTTCCATTTCAGTTCGTGGAATTCTTTTCTCAAATTCCTCAAAGTACCTGAGGGCAGACAAACAATCCATCACACACAGTTCATGTGTGGGAGAAGACATTCAAAGACTTTGTATGGATGCTGATTCATTTAGAAACTGTCGAGACATTCAGCCAAAACTTACTTGAGTCCGATCTGTTGATGATGATTAAGCTTGTGCTCAATCTTTTTCAGATCTAAACAAATAACAATGACCACATAAATCAATTCAGAAAATGAGAGCACATTTATTAAACAGTTATACAGAATGCAAAATACTGTATCTCATGTACAACATTGTTTCATAGTTCATGTGGAAAAGAACTGAGATTTACCAATAATACAAAAAAATATATATACAATGGGAGTCACCTTCTAATGTCTTCACACCTTCCTCAAAGAACTTCCTTGCAGCAGCAGGGCTAAAGTTCGGGCCACGAGAAGCAGGTCACATAAAGAGCAAAGAGAAAATCTACATGAACAATACATCTCTTGGAGTGGCCACTAAATAGTTAATTCAATGAAACTAAAAACATACCCAATTCCAGTAACCCTGGTGAGGAAGTTGATGGAGGAACTGGTGTCATCATTTCGAATCTGAAATACAAAAATAGCACATTATCTGTAAGTGTGTAATGTGTTCAGTGAGGCTATTATTAAACACTCATACAGGATCTTCCCACACCCAAAGACTCACCTTCTCCAGTTTCCGTAGTTTGCCTGTTTGTAGGAATTCATCAATCTTTTCTGCTATTTTAGCTCCAACACCATCCTGTTGTAAGTGTGGAAACAAACATGAGGGTGCTGAATAGTGCTTTCAGCAGCAGTTACGTAAGATGTTGACAGAATCTTTCAGGCTACAGCAGAGGGCATCACACAACACGCTACCACATCAACATAGGCACACCAGTAGTAGGGAAGACACATAGTGATGTTGTCATTTCAAGTTTTCAGGCACCATTACACTGATGTGAACTGTCTTAAAATAAATACAGCCCTCTGTCTCGGTCAAGTTCAATAACATACAGAGGAACGGATATTCAGTATCACTCTAAGCATAGCGACAGTCATTTTATTGACAAATAAACGATGAAGCATATCAATCATTATGTTTGTAAGGTAAAAAAAATCTAAGTACATTTTGTTCTGTCCAATCTCCAAAAAGACCCAACGACTCAAATGATTAAGTGATTAGGTCTTTAGACACTTTGTGCTTTAACTGCTGAAAAACATCATGGACCCCCCTCCTGCAGATTCATACAGAGCGAACAGATCTGTTAAGGAAGCTGTAAACTTGGCCCTCCAGCACTTCACCTGGTGCTGTCTGAAAGAACTCAGAGCTGTTTTGCTCTGAAGACAGTGGAGATGGGGATTTTAGGATGAATGTCGCAGCCCATGAACCCATCACCCGCTGTGACTCCTCAGTTCCTGTGGAGTCTTTCCGCTTCCTAGGGAACATCTTTACCCAAGACTGCAAGTGGGAGTTAAACATCAGCTCCCTCATAAAGAAAGCTCAGCAAAAGAGTTACTTCCTTTGGCAGCTGAAGAAATTCAACCTGCCCAAGGCAATGATGGTGCACTTTTACACCGCCATCATCGAGTCCTTCCTCACCTCCTCCATAACAGTCTGGTATGCTGCAGAAAAGGACAGACTGCAGCATATCATACACTCTGCAGAGAGGAAGATTGGAGGACTCTTTGAGGCCCTCCCCTCCGTCAAGAGGCTGAGGTCCATCACGACCAAAACCTCAGGCCACAAGAACAGTTTCTTCCCCTTCTGATTACTAAAGCCTCGTCAGTTTCCAAAACCCCCACATGACACAGACTTTATCCAGCCTCGGAGTAAGCCAGCATTACATGCATGTAAAGCTGAGTCTGATTTCCTGTTGCTTTAAGGCACAGAGGACTTGAGTATTTAACATTTACACTGTGCACTGTGTGTTATTTTACTTTAAAGCCGTTTTCACATATGCACTCTGGATAATATCTAGATAATTGCAGGAGGAACGCTCCGGAGATTCTCCCGAAATAGCCGTTCACATATGCTCCTCATAGCAGGGGACTTTCCCTGTCAGAGGGGAGGGGGCGCGGGGGATCTCCTGAGGTATGACGTGACGCAAATAAACAACGTGGAAGTGGCGGCCGAAGTAACCGAGTCCGCTATACGGCGTTATAATGAGAATATCTGCCTTTATATCAATGCTATGTGTAGTCCAATGGAATGACAACATCCACAAAAGAGTGGAGAACAACATACTGACGAACAGAAAACACAATGCAGCTGTTTGCGTTCACACATAGCCTAAAGTCCCTCCGGGTAGCCAAATCTCCGGAGTTTTTACGGAGATTTCTGTATGTCTGAAAAGGGTTTCAGATGTCTGACATATTTGAACATTGGTAATGCGCCTCCATTGAACCTGTTGTACAATTTGATCCTATATAGCTTTTATATATTTCATTCTATTATAATTAAGTTTATTAACTGTAAGGAAACTTCTGTTGTATTGCCTTTTACATCTTTATTCTACTTTCGTGTTCACTGATTCTCATCAAATTTAGTGTTATGTATCAACATAGGTATAAATGTAGTTTGCAAAATATGATTCTGATAATGTACTTTTGAATGAGTAGTTTGTTGGATACATCCATTGACACAAAGACATGCCAGACTTAATCATAAAGGAGACAGATTCACATCCATTATCAATCCTCAGTGTTAAAATACATACTCAACAATTACAACTAATCATGCCTGTTCTTATGTATTCTTTTGATTGTATGTCAAAGCACTTTGTAAACCCTTTTGTTAATGATGCTATTTAAAGCTATCATTACCATCATAACCAGTGTATCAGCACCAATGTGTCACAACTTGTGGCTATTATGGCACTCAAAAAGATGTTTTTTAAGGGGTTACCGTAGACTGTAAATATTAAGGGTGTTACTCATTATTAACTGTCTTCATTTGTAATTGCTGCACACATCTGGACTGTTTATTTTGACCATTTCTACCTTGTTTTAAAGATAAGATTATATATTTTGTTAGGAAGGCAGCAACTTAAGACATCAAAACAACATACCAGTTTCTTGGCTTCCTCGCCATTTTTGATTTTGTTTGGGTATTTTGAGATGGTAGATGCTGCTTTCCTAGAAAGGGAAAAACGAAAAGTTATTTAAAAGATATATATTTTAACAAGAAATGCAACAAAATAATGAATGAAGTAGCAAAACAAATTGGTTAAAATATTTGTTTAGAATTCCAAGTACTTTCTTATTATTAAAAAACCTTACATTGATCAAAATATCTATCTAATCCCGTGTTCATATCACATCAAATGCGTTACAGTCTATTACCTCTTTATTTTGTACCCATAGCCAAATGAATCCAGTCTGAGCTCCAACCCAGTAATAAATCCTACCTCTATGAATGTTATCGTTTTAAGCTTTATGTAAACTATTTTAGAGAAGTGCTGCTCTAATAAGGTGTTTATCATCAATCAATCAATCAATCAATTTTTATTTGTATAGCGTAAACTCATAACAAGTGTTATCTCGAGACACTTTACAAAAAGCAGGTAAAATACCTTACTCTTTGTCTGTTAACATTACAAAAGAGCAGGTAAAAGACCTTACTTATTGTTATATTACAAAAAGCAGGTAAAAGACCTTACTTATTGTTATATTACAAAAAGCAGGTAAAAGACCTTACTTATTGTTATGATACAAAAAGCAGGTATAAGACCTTACTCATTGTTATGATACAAAGACCTGGTCTATCCATCATGAGCACTTTAGCAAAGCAGCAAAAGTTAGAGTGGTAAGAAAACACTGCCTGTGTTTAAGCACACCATAAAGACATAAAGACTTAATAATGGGGTGAATCGTCTTCATTAATTATTCACAATCTGCATGAGCTTTAGTTTATAAACAAGCAATTGAGTTTATTCTCACTATAACAAAACATTTATATTGTTTTAATATTTGTAAAGTAAGAGCCCTCGTCCAATGACAGAAGCTTACCTGTATGCATTGTACTTGTGTATTGCCCTGTTGACGTTTTTCTCATAATTGGCCAGCTCTGAAAATCGACAAAACAAACAAACAAACATCCCAGTGCTTTAAAATGTAAAGTTTAAATTTGACCTCAAACTCCTGCAGTCTATTTCCATTTTTAACAGGAACAACAACATGAATTAAAAGCGATTAACAAGACCAAACATTGTGTGATCCGAGCAAAGAGATGAAGTTAAAATTATAATCAAACCCAATGACAAACATGAAGGAGACAGAGCAAGATTAACCACATTGTTTATCCAACTTGTGCATTTTTTTAAAGGTGTTATTTTCACTTCAGAGCCCAGCTGAGCCTCTGGTTAATGTAATGTCTGACTCTTCTTTACGTACCGACAAGGAAGTCTGTTATTCCCTCATTCAGGGATTCCTGAGGTGCCTTTCTCTTGCTCATTATTGATTCGACAGTCTTTAAATGTCCACAGGAAATTTAAAAGGTCCTGTAAATGCACGCATGAAAGTTAAAGCCGCTTTCTAATCTTGGTTAGCTGCTAACCGGCTACCCCAAGCAGAACAATAACTGAAAGACGTCGAGGGGGTTGGGCCGGGCCCGTACGTAATGTACGTAAGACGCATATACGTCATCTTCTTCTTCTGTGGTGTTTTAGGGTCCACGTAGTTGCATTACTGCCATCTGTCAGAGTCAGTCAGCTCCTACATTGTTCCGTACTACGTCATTACCTAAAGCTGCCAAGTAGCCTCTACTATTGGGTATACATCGTAACAGTGTATGGTACTAATGGTTACCAGTCCCACCTTTCAAATAAATGCATCTTTTTGGAGCTTTGGACCATTTCGACAGTGCCATTGCATTGCATGGTACGTTTTAATGCCCAATTCTTACAAAAAATACACATGTACATGACATCACAAAAATATTCATTTTCAAAAGCGACAGCTAGTTTTACATAAAGAAAATAACAAATCAGATGACACTTTTAGGTATGGATTTTAACTACTAAAGCTACAGTGGTTCTGTTATTTTTCCCCCCATCAAAAAATTAGCTGCTTTTATTCAGTTGCATATATTGTTATCATTCAATTCAAAATCTGACATCATATAACCTACTATCCACTTAACAGAGAACTTACAATATTCAAAAATAAAAAGTAAAACCATTTACAAAAACTGACATAATCATCTATTTTATACAAGGGTCAGCCTAAAGTTACCCAATGCAATTACACATAAAAATGAATCTTGATGAAGCAGTGTATGTACAGGTCCATCTCCTTCTCTTACATCTCTGACCTCCTCCTCCTCTTCCTCCTTGTGTGTGTGTTAGGAATCTATTTTAACATAAACCTTGTCCCTGGAGAATATCTTAATGGCCTCCTCAATTTCAGAAAGCCTACAATCAAGATGAGCTCGACGTGAGCGAACACGCAGGCTGTCAGCTTTGAGAGGGAGTGACAGAAGCTCAGTGACCAGGGAGCGATGGGCTGGGGGAAAATCAGCAGTACAACAATTAGAGAGACAAGTAGCAAATAGTGTTGTCATTGTTCATGTATGGACAGAGATAAAGGAGACATACTGTCTTTGAGGGACTTCAGTGTTTCCTGTCTCTCACTTTCAGGCATCAGTGTATGACCAGCTGGGGTTGAAGGATCAGGAGCGTTTCTTTTCCTCTCCTCCTCCTCTTTTTGCCACTGCTCCTTCCTTTCCTCAAGACTGGAATTGTAAGACGGAACAATATCAACCAACAACAGTTAAGGGGTTAAAGGGGTTTCTAGTTAATAGTGATCATGATCTTAGGATAAATGGGTGAAATATGACACAATAATACTTACTACTGAGGCACCTGACCCTTAACTGCACTGGGGATTGGCTTATTTCCGAGGTTTGTCAGTGACTGGGACCGACGCAGCACAGTTTTTCCTGCAGCCCGGGCATTATGTTTAACAAAGTCTATGCTCCTGCCTTGCACCTGTAACTACATCCACATATATAGATAGGGATTTAAAACATAAAGGGAAAAATTATAGATGATAAGGAATTTGGGCGATTAATGTTTACGTTATTTGTTTGCTAAAAAGAGGAACACAAGACAAGGGTTACATTCACTTTTCTTTCATCTTCTTTCAGTGAGGAAAATAGCTCAAGCATTTCTTCTACCCATTGTCTGATCAGAATTTGAGAATATATTTATGTTTATAAACAGTTCTCACTTCCGGGTTCTGGTCCTCTATAGAGTTGCAGGATGCGGGGCGTTTCAAAAATACCAGAGAGGTATTGGACTGTGGTCTTGGAGTGGCAGCAGATCCCCCTTTGGAGTGGGCCTTCAGAAAGTTTCGACACGGTGGTTTAGCAGTTGAACTAGAAACCTGCGTCAAAGAAATTGGATTAAAGGGAATCAAGAGGAAATATTCATAACTTAAGGTCCTCACTCTCCTGTAGAAGTTCTCCTTACTTGAAGCTGCATCATCACCCTGGATGGGACATTCTGGTATTTGGAGGAGGTCCAGAGCGCTTTGACTGGAGCTGGACGAGAATGGGATCTCTCAGCCTCCTGCTCTTTGCAGCGTCTTTGGATTTCTCTGAGCCGGAGTACATTCTCTTTGCCAAAATCTTGTACCCGTTTTTCTGAAGGAAAAGAAACACAAAAGTTGTCTTTGTTTGGTCTTAAAGCAAGAAAAAAAACAGAACAATTCTTTTGTGCATTGCACAAATAGCACTTACTCTGTTTTGGAACAGGGGTAATGGCGACACCATCTAGTTTGAGTAGTTCCCCCACTACCCCTCTCTGTCCTCTTTCCAGGATATGGGTAGCATTGGGGCCAATACGAGGAGGATGCGCTGGAGAACGAGCACTGTAGCAGCCAGGGTACAAAACCGGATCTGGAGCAAGTGGCCCTGAGAGTAGGGCCAAAGTCCCATTGTGGTGTCCCTCTAAACGACCACGAGCTTGATAAAAAAGATAAAGATATACAAGAGCACTTGGGGCCTATGTTTACACAGACTGTTCAAAGGGGGATTTTAATAAAGGAGTGCCCTATGGTGGCATCTTACCTGAAGCAGGTCGCTTGTAGTACTGAGGAAACAAAGAAGGGTCAGGTGGGATTGGGCCAGAAATGGATGAAGGTCCCTCGCACATCTGAAGCTGCACATTATAAAAAAATGAAAACAAATTCAATATTAGCAAAGAGTTAATATCAAAGTCAAAGAAATAACAAACATATATTATGTGATGTCGTCCCACTCTCCCTCAGTTTTAATTTTGTTCTCTCCTGATTGATTTTAAACTAATTTCCTTCACTGTACTGAACTGCCTCTCCATACCTGCCTGTTGACTCCATATTATTCCTGTTATTTGCATTTTTATAATTTTGCCCTCTCTGTCGATCTCTGTTCTGTTGTTGTTGTTTTGCTGTATTTGCTCTGTCTGTCACAGCACTTTGTAAACATTTGTTTTTAAAGCTGCTATATAAATAAAGATATTATTATTATTTTAAATAATGACAAGTTGAAGACTGGTTAGTGTTAAGTAATACAGAAGAGTATTTGAATTGATGCACTACATTTGAATTGCTATACGACATTTCATTTGCATGTGTACAGTGTATTGCTGGAAGAGCTGTTTGGTTTACAAATCGATAAAACTCATGAATGAATGAATGAATCAGTCATTATGGAGAACAGTTATTAAAATACCTGCACCCCCAGCATTTTTGTTTTAGTTCAAATGAATGCAAAACACATAATTTAAAATGAGAAGAGATGATTTATGACACATTAGCTTTTAACTAATCTCTATTTACAGTCACCGAGTAGATAAACAAATTACAATCACCACTACTCAAACTACCTGCAACACCATTTAATACTCTCTATTACACAAGTCATTATAAAGAGACACAGAATATTATGCGGACATCAGTAGATATTATTCGTCCAGAATAACTCTAAAATTACAAATCATCTTTTCTCGCTTTACAAACGATGTCACATTATTGTGAAACAGCTTGTAGTAAAGTACTCCACCTATGTTGATCTCACCTGAGGCTCTTATCGACGACATCAAACTAAACACGCAGATAACGGAATATATTTCAAACATCTGCCGTCCACCTAATTAACAACGGCAACCGGTTGAGATATATAATATATACACAAGTTAATTAATTTACCTTTAATATCGGCTTGTTTATCAGCTGGGGATTTTGTTCACGCACACTGATGACGCTGATCGAGGTATCAACACTTGTTCAAATGTTCCTCACCATGGCAACGGTGCAGACGCACATAGAACTGGATCTGATAGAGCGGAGACGGGCTTATTATCAAACTTGAAATGACCTCCATCATGTATCGTAAGAGTTCATAGGGGTTCACGCGTTATAATTATTTTTTTTAATAACAACCATTTTGTCAGTGAGTGTTCGTTAAATGTGTGACGCAGGCATTGGTTCAGAGACAAGCATAAAGTGGTAGCAGATAGGCCCATGCCCGCACTAATGGTAAAATAATAATACCTCAATAATTAAAGCAATCCCCAGCACTGATAAATAACCATTTACAATTAATTAGTCGTTGTTAAGGCTAGCAAGCCTTTTTTACTAGCAGGTGTCAACCCCCCTTTGTGCAGTTATCGGCTCTATTAAGTGTAATTCTACTGTAATCCTTCTTTAGCCTACAGTTCTGTTTCCCTGTGTTTAGTCTGACAGGTTTACCAGCTCCTTATTTATCATGAATACCATACCAGAACACCAGCTATGGCTTTAGTTCTAACATTTTATGTATCGATTTTGAAACTAATCATTCAATTGTTGGAGTGTACAGCACAGTGAATCGTAGAAGGGTCAGCCCAAAGCGTCTGCCTGGCAGACCGTCTACAGGACAAAGAAAGAGAATAGGGGGACCTGGACCTGGCTGTAGATCATTGCCCCCGAGTGGTCCAAGGCTCTATTACACTTAACAAAAACAAATGCAGTATTTCCAGAGTACAGTCACTGATGTTACCCATTTGCAGAGGCTGTCAAAATATAAATACATGATAAATATTTGGCATTGCAGGGATTTTACTCATTTCAACTCGCAAAGTTCAAATAGTTTTCGCAAAAGTCAATTGACTTTTTTCACATTGTGGCATAAGTAGCCCATAGATGCAGTTTTTGTTACAGAAAAAATGCACTGGGAGGTATGGCCTAATCGTATTATATTTTGTAGGTTATTATACGACTAATCAACTATAGGCTATAAAAATACGGAACATTTTTCTATTATTTCTATTATTATTTATTATTATTTATTCTATTTGGGTGATCTTTTTTTTTTTTAAAGATTGGCCTCCCCCAATTGAACCCCTGACCAACACTGAAGTCTTTAAAATCTAAACGCACAAAAATCCCATGTGAGCAAAACATTTACAAACAGTACAAGTTTTTTTTTGTTTTGTTTTTTTTGCCCAATGACAATTACACAACTGCCCCGCCCTCGATCGGAGGTCTGACTTGCGCGTGCTCAGTGTGCTTGTCTCTGCTTTCTCCTTCACTGTGCCCTGCCGCACCGGACAGTGTTGAGAAACTACACGCTCCTCTCGCAAATTTAGGTAAGGATTAAATCACTTTTGCAAAGTCCTTTTTTTGTTGTTGTTTTGTTTTATGTTGTATTATCTGCATGACGATTACGCTGTTGTCAATTGTCGTTTGACTCTCAGGCAAACATGAGTCACACATAAAGAGGTGGGACTGTGTAGCTGCGGGTATGCCAGGGTTTGAGTGCCAGTCCAGGCCTGTATACACTAGTACCCAAAAAAAAAATCCACATGAAAACTGTATATACTACTACTATAAACTCATCTCCGTTGTGGGAGAGTTTTTTTTGCTTTTGACCAAAATGTGATGGTTTCTATGGGACATAACGGGGTCACATTCTGTGAAAATGTTTTTAAAATATAATATTTTAATATTGAGGTGCAACATCCATACAGTTTAAAACTGAGAATTCCATTCTCAATGTTTTTCTTTTAAGAAGTTTAAGAAGATTTTCTGCAGTGTTGATTAACCCCCTCTAGCAGACACCAGATAGACGCAGGAACAAAGAAAGCAGAGTTGGACGCATCTGGCAAAGAATGAAACATCGGCTTCTCGTCCGCTGATGGGACAAATACCATAAATCTTTCTTATCTCAATGTGTAAAAGCACACTGTCCAGGAACAGCAACGTTGCGAGGACGATCTTTTGGCACTACCTTTACGCACGGTCTAGACGCTGAGTGCAGATGACCCACACTGAGCTCTTGTTAGGCAAATTAAACGTCATGGCCAGCTAAAAGAAACAAGTCAGTCGCTTGGATGTATTTATCTTTTTTCATTTATGCTGGTGGAAAATTGTCTTTCTTTTGGAGAAAATCCCTATCAAAATGATTATTGTTCCAGAGCTGGACAACAATGTAAAATAACAGCAATGTTGATGCAACAAGCTACATGACCCAAAGACAGCTGGTACAACTGTTGTGGTCTCTGTTTACCTCAAAATAACTCACCTGATGTGACTCTCATTCTGAACAGACACTATGAAACAAGTGCATCAATACCTCAAGCACTTTACATTCAAGCTTTAAATTGTCTTGGTGTAACTTGACTGCACTTGTCCTTATCTCACACACACAAACACATTCCTCCCATTATAAGCCGCACGCACTTGCCTTGGTTTCACCTTATCTGAGGATTCGTCCACCCTTTGGGTAACTGCCTGTTAACAAGGACAGTTTAAAGTTCATTAGCAAGGGGTATATCATCTTTAAACTTACAAATCCTCTCCTTTTTCCGCTATAGAACAAATGTCACATTTCTTGCTCAAATGACCTTGGTACATTTATTAACACACTATTAACACACCATTTGCTTTTTTTTTTTGACACGTTGAATACAGAGAAATCAAGTATTTAAATAATTAGTAAAATATATTTACCAAAGGTGACATATATAGATGGAGATTGCTAATTGAAACAGTTTTTGTTTTGTTTGAGTAACCAAAAAAACACTACAATTTCAGCTGAGAAATGTTGTAACCAAAGGTTTGGCAGTTTATAGTTATTTTACTTAGCATACATGTAGCATATTAACTACAGTACTTGAATATTAAGTACAGACATGATAATAACACCCAAAGCATACTTACCTTGAGCTCAAGCATTTCATATACACTTAATTATGTCCTTAGGCTAATTAAGCACATGTGAAATAGCACCCTCTTGTTATTGTGTGGTCCATGTTTTCCTTTCACATGTCTCTGCTGTTTACGGCTGTCTGTCTGCCCTTTGAGCCATGTCAAGACTGTCACCTGGTTACAGCTTATTAAAGTGTACCTATATGTGTTTGTATATTAATGGTCTGGAGGTACAATACAGATACGTTTAACAATTAATCATGGGAGTTTTAACAGGCTGAACCTGGAGAAGGACACCCAGTGACATCCTGGTCACATGTGTCGTAGTGTTGGGTTCACCTGAGCTAAATTTAGAGCAGAGTGTTGAGACTGAGGGATAAAAGCAAGGAGGTGGGACAGGGACTAAAATGGACTGTGTTGTGGACGAGTGAGGAGGACGAGAAGGAGAGTTTGTGAGGTGACAAATTCAGTCCCTTGGATTGCACATGGTCAGCAAAAGGCAGGTCAGCTGGCACACATTTCCTGACTGTTTGAAAAACTATAAGACTGACAGCCGAGACGCACGAGACATTTTGACACATGCTGTGATTTATTTGCTGGAGTTTGTGTGTGAGAAAGATGGAGACCTTAAAGGGCCAGTGCACATGTTTGCGCATTCAGTTTGAGAAAATAAACCATGGTGACCCTCAAGTGTGGCACAATTCTGATCAGATTTGGTTATTTTCCTTAGGATTAAAACAAAAATCTTACTTTGCGATGGTTATGTGTTACTTATAATCAAACCAATGAAAGTCTTGATGGAGATGATTCGCTCAATCTCAATTTGAAAGGATACGCTTGTAGCATTGACTTTAGGTAGGAATTGAATGTTGCCATTTTAACGTCATCCATTTGTGGACCATCCCTTTTAATCCCTAAGTACAGCTCTTGGTTGCCGTTGTCATGATTTTTTTTTATGTCATGAAGTGACAATTTTTGGAAGAGAAGACTTAGGAGTTTGGTTTCTTCAGTTAGCTTACATTGTGCCTACAGCAGAAAGCTAACCGCACACACGTTAGAGATTCACTTTGTCTTTATTATGCACATTTTTTAAGTCTTATAATCATTTTAAACTGTAAGTTTTATATAAACTCCTTCCCATTCAGTTGCCATGAATAAGGAAATTAGATATAAAGACCAGTGCCAGGCTCTAAAATGTTTATTTCTGTTGAAAATGGAGGAAACTTTAACATGGGGGGGGTGCTAGAAACACATGCCTCAAGTGGTCATTCTTGGAACTGCAGTTCTGTAATCGACTCAAATGACTGCCCAGCGGACTTTGCTGTTTGGCTGGTAGAAATTAACCTACAGAGAATTATCATTTGAATCTGCAACTCTCCATGGCCTAATGGAGCTATTTATCAAGTATCATTTGATTACTAAGCTCTATTGCAACAATACGTTAAAAACTGACTTTCACCTCTCTTGAGCGACAGTTTCTTGTGTGAAAGGTGTGATGATAACTCAATGTGAAGGACATTCCCGACCACAAACAGCACACAGGACACTAGAAACTAGCAACTGAACATCAACATAATGCAGCGTTTACCAGCTAAAGAGACATGTTTTTCACCAGGAAGCCCAAAACAGAGAGCTAAAAGCGTGCATTTACATTTGCTGTTTAGCAAGAAAAAAGACTGCAAATGACTGACAATGTTACACAATAAGTGCTAAATGTCTAAATTAGCAATCATTTGCTGACAAGAAGGCCAAATCCAATTTAAGTGTGATGATATGAAAACTTTATATATTTGTCTTTGTCATTATAAACAAGTGGCCAAAATCAATTAGCTATTGGAGTTTGAAAAAGTGTCAGCGGATGATATCTGAACATGAGCTCCAGCAGTTTGCTTCTTTAATCATGACTATTTCATTACAAATAAATACTTATAGGATTTGGAACCACCCCTCTCTGAATGTGGAAAAGAAAACGCATTAGAGAGATTATTGTGCAGTAGGACTCAGGGTGCCATGTGATAGGTTAATGACAGTGGGACATCAAGATGCATCACTGCTGTTGTAACATGCTGCTGATGTAATACCTGTGGACAGATGGTGCTTACCTGGTGATGGGCTGTTTTTTTCTATGTTCTTTTGTAAGGGCCACAGAGGCAACATTATCCTTTTGTTCCCCTCGTGGAGCTAATCTGTATTCTTTATCTGATAAAAATGCTATTTCTCAGTGCTGTACAGGGGCTGTACGCAGTCCTTATCATGTTCAAATGCTGTGCACAAAGTACACATGTTCATTATGGGCTGGCCCATGCACATGCTGTATAATGTGATGCAATAGTTGACCAATTCTTTGCATAGAAAGGACAACTAAAAGAGACATGCTTACACAGTAGCTGCAGACAAACCCACATATTGTGTGCTGTCCAAACAGTACTGCACCACTTGCCAAAGTTTTGTGTTGTCCTTCCTTGCACTTCTCTCCTCTGAAGAGACATGGCAGAGAAAGGAGTGGTGGTGCAGAAGGAAAAGGCAGGAAATGGCAAGCAAGCAGTGAACAAAGGCCAGTGTGTGACATGTGAACACCACGCACCCAAGGGACATGGTGAGTGGGGGGGCTGTGTGTTTAGATAGAGACAGATGACGCATCATCAGGGTCCCTGGATTGAGCTTTGGCTGCCGGAAGTGGAAATGTTCATCTCTTCCCTTTATTAATAATACGATTACGGGTCCGATTGCAGTGAGAACATTTAGAAAGCCTGGATTGTGCACTGTGCAGGAAAAAAAGGTGATTTTTGCAATTGATGTGGAGGGAGCAACAAGACAAGCCCGGAAAAAATCAGAGTCAATAGTAAATCATTAAACCAGCTAAGTGAATGCAGGATGTTCTCAATGCTCTGGCAAAGTCACCTTGTCAAAAAATGTCTCCTTCATACACACAAAGAGTGAACACACACACACTCAGACCCAGGAGACCCTGATGACTGTGTGCGGCCCGGTGCAGTGCAGTGATGCAGGAGTGGTAGATGCTGACTAACAGAACCTGCTTCTGCTTAGGTTAGCTCTATTGCAATGGCATGGATAGTATTTCTTTATACATCATACATATTAAATGTATTTTAATTCACAAGCATTGCAATATGGGGATTCACAAGTGTGCAATATAGAAGTTAGTGCGGCTGCAACATTTTTCTGTCAGATAGCTATTAGATCTTTTAAAGAATCCAGCACATTTCTGGTCCCTTCCTCCATAAGTTAAACAACCTCTGCTGCCTGTGAATGGATTACTGCCAGGCAATCAATAGGGTTCACATGGTAATTTATGGGGAGGAGAGAAGCAGTATATCAGCTGCACCGAGACAGGCCCCCTCAAGATGGCAAGGGTCTCCCAAACGGGACAAATAAATGTACAGATGTATGTTTGCAAGTAAATATTTGGTCGTGAACACTTTCTGTGAGGGAATATACTGTAGTACTCTAAGAGTATAAACTGAGTTGTATTGCTCAGCTTCTGCAGTAGAGCTCAGCTCCATGTAATTGTGAGAGGTATTCACCTTGTATTTCTTGATTTGTAGGAGCTTTCTGACAATTCTGCAAGTAATGTTGAATAAATGCTCTGTTGATTAAAAAAGTTTAATTATTTTAAGCAAAAAAAAAAACTGGATAAGTGTAAAGATGTGGGTTCTCAATTGGGAAATGAAAGACACAATGGAGTTGCATTATGGGAAATTCAGGATGAACTTTTTTTTAAGCCTAGTATATGCTAGATCGATCAATCCTGATTATTGCTTTTTGAAAGAAACTTGTAGTTTGCGAGGCCTTCCACTTTATGGAAGATCAAAAGAATCCCTTTAATAGTTTGGATTGACTGATGATATTGTAAAGTGTGAATTTGTATGTTATAAAGAAATTGTAAAAACTGCTCTGTTTCTCTAGGCACAATGGCCGTCCCCCCTGCATACACAGACTTGGGAAAATCCGCCAAAGACATCTTCAGCAAGGGCTTTGGTAACTCAACTTTTAAGTTAACTGAATCTGTGATATCTGTGATTCGAGATAATTTAGTTTGATCTGTCTCTTTAAAGCTGTTACAGCCTGTTTATTTTTGCTGTAGCTGTCTCAGAGACATGCTGTGAAGCTAAAAGTTGTGAGTTATTTTCCTTCCCTTTCTGTTCTTTAACGTTCCCTGACCTTCTTTCTCTGCAGGATATGGAATTCTCAAGCTGGACGTTAAGACCAAGGCTCAGAGTGGTGTTGTAAGTACTTTCGTTGTCTCTTTTTGGGCGTGTTGCATGCTCAAGCTGCATGTTCAGGCCTCTTCCTCAACTCTGTAGAGTAGCGGTGATGGCTGACTCATGGCGTTGCAGCACCTCATGTCGGACTGAGTTTTCTGCCTGACGTGTACTCAGTCTAACCTACAGAGTCAGCAGAGAAACACTCTGACAGGTTTACACCTCAGTCTTTTTCCTCAAGCTACAATTTGCATCATGATGGAGGTTTAGCTTGCTGCAGACATGCTGCGTGTCCCTTTTGCCTTGTTGACACCAGAACGAGTGCTTGTACACAGAGCCACAAATGCCACAGCTCTCAAACCTCACGGAAAAAAACGTCAAACTATTCCCTCTGTAACCAAACTCACAGATTTCTGCTCTGTGTAGTGCTGCTTTTCATTTTCTCAGAGAGCCAATAAATGTCTGCATGTAAACTCTTGTGTGATTCTCCCTAACTTTCTCTCTTCTCTCCTTTTTTTCTGCTTTCTTCTTTGGACGTTGCTGTCAGATGGTAAGAGCGAGCGGGTGTGCATATGTAATGATTAAACACAGGTGCACTACTGGGTAAGCCCGTGATACCAGTTATGTGTTTGTGTGCAAACAATTTGTGCAGGCTTTGTGCCAAGTGTTAGTTTGTCTAAGCGAAACCATTCCCCAAGCTGCTACAGCCGTTAACAGCACTGAACCTCAAAAGCACTCAACCTCTCCCTCACAGTCTGCCCGTATTTTCACGATTCCTTCCACACTTGTTTCTCCATCTTCAAGGCGTAGCTAAGAAGGTGAATAAGTTGTCCAATCCTGAGTGGGATTGTCTGGCGGAGGAAAAGTGAAAAAAGCAATGCTTGTTTCCCTCATCCTATTTCTTTCTGTGTTTCTAGCAACGTCTGCCTCTGGCGTCTGTTTTTGTTCTTTAAAAAGGCAATGTACCCTCTGCTTCCATTCCCTGGATCGTTTTCAATCCACAACCACCTACCAATCACCTTTTTCCATCTTTGTCCTGTAGGAGTTTGCCACCTCCGGCTCCAATAACACGGACACAGGAAAGTCAGGAGGCCACCTGGAGACCAAGTACAAAGTGAGCGACCTGGGACTGAACTTCACCCAGAAGTGGAACACAGACAACACTCTCACCACAGAAATCACTATTGAGGACCAGGTAGAGTTACAACAGTCTTTTCAAGCGTATAAATCATCCAGTTGTTTACTTAAGACAGTTTTTTGTGCTCAAGATCTTTGTCTCCTCTCTGTCTGTAGCTGGCTAAGGGCCTGAAGCTCAGTCTGGACACGTCATTTGTGCCCAATACTGGGTAAGAGCAATCCTGTAAAAACAAAAAAGTAGACATTGAAGCGACTGAATGAACGGACAAGAAAGTGAATAAAATCATTTCAGATCTATTGTGCTATCTAGATGACTTACCCTCTTTTGATCCCTCGTTCCGGTAGTAAGAAGAGTGCCAAGCTGAAGACCGGCTACAAGCGTGACTTTGTCAACATGGGCTGCGACCTTGACTTCGACATGGCCGGTCCCACCGTCCACGGGGCCGCTGTGCTGGGCTACGAGGGCTGGCTGGCCGGCTACCAGTTGGCTTTCGACACCGCCAAATCTAAACTGACCCAGAACAACTTTGCCCTTGGATACAAGGCCGGTGACTTCCAGCTTCACACCAGCGTGTGAGTTACAGTATCCCAGTTTAGACAGGCAGAAACAGGAAGTGATACATTGAATAAGGAAATGTTTTCTCAGAATGAAAACAGAAAGTTCAGAGTAATGTCATCTGCCACTTATCTCCATGTATTTATCTGTGTTTCCACTGTCTTGTTTCAGTAATGATAGCACAGAGTTTGGTGGCTCCATTTACCAGAAGGTGAACAGCAACCTGGAGACAGCGGTCCAACTGGCCTGGACAGCCGGCAGCAACAACACACGCTTCGGAATTGGAGCCAAATACCAGCTGGATAAGGATGCTTCTCTGTCTGTAAGAACTAACTGCAAATGATATGGACACTTAATAAAAACACTATGAAAAAGCAATCGAGTTTGCATGGACTATGCCTAAAGTGCAGAGAGAATTTTTTTTGTATGATTCGAAAAAAAATAAGTATGTTTTGGACAGACTTTAGGAGTCTGATAACGGGATAGTCACAGTTATTGCAGTGAATTCTTAGGGGGACATGAATGTTTGTAGTAACATCATAATAATCCATAAGTTGTGAAGATGTTTTTCCTATGTCTTCTAATGCTTTGTAAATCATCTAACCACTGTACAACGCTTTTTCTCCTCACAGGCCAAAGTTGACAACGCCTGTCTTGTTGGAGTGGGATACACACAAACCCTCAGGCCAGGTTAGCTATACCTATTTTTTTCTGTCTTCATCAGCAGCTAATGAACATACAGTATGTACAGTGACTTCATACACAACCTGACTCTCTTCCCTGCAGGAGTGAAGCTCACCCTCTCAGGCTGATTGACGGGAAAAACGTGAACGGCGGTGGACACAAAGTGGGCATGGGATTTGAGCTGGAGGCATAAAGATCCAGCAGGAGAACAGACAAAAAGGAGAGTGAGGACAGCGAAACGGGAAGTAGAAGATAACAGAGCCCAAATGTGAAAACATTTTTTAAAAAAAAAGGTCCACTCAGCGATACATAAACACATCTTCCCTCTCAGTCTGACACGTACACACATGTTCTTTGGCCTTAACCCTGTAACCCTAAGCAGCCTCACAAACCTCCAGTACTGTAACTTTTAAATGAATCAAGATTTATTTTTTAAAATATACACTATTTACAGGTAACAACTTTTAAGCATCTTTTATCAGAAAACACCAAAAAACAGACTCAACAGCTGAAAATGAAACCTTGTTTGCCAGATAATGTGCTACTTCTGACCAGTTGAATAGGACAAAGTGCACTTTGAATAAAGCAGTATGTGTCAGCTATATCTGTGTTGTTTCTAAAATAGGATTAAAAGCACCTTTTTATTTTGAATGTGTGGTCAGCTCATCTTTGTTCTGATATACTCTGGGTTTTAGACAAAAAAATATAGTAGAGGGTGCCTTTTATTTTGGTTTTGTTTTGGTTTTGTTGCATGCTATTAAGACTTGAGGGACGCTTTATGAGTTTTAAGTGTCAAACTGACGAGTACAGAGACTGTAAACAAACGCAATAAAACCTTGAGGGAGTTAAGTAGAGAAGACAGAGCAGCTGCTCCCTCTCAGACTAAGTGGACTGACTGGTTCACCGTTTGACCTCAGAAACACAGTTTTTATACTGTGGACCTTCAGTTGCCTCCATGTCTATTTTTTTTCAGGAGCTACGTGTGACCTCTTTGTCTGGTTTTGTCTCCAGTACCTGTTCAACCTACATTTCACTTTATCTGTGCTGTGCTATGTATAGGAGCCTTAGTCAACTGTTAGGACCTCAAACTGATTTCATTGAATTAAAGGAATAAAGAATGTTAACCACAAAGATCTTGAAGTGGACTTTTTATTTTATTTTTGTTGACATGAAAATGAAAAAAGGAGAGGAAACCTTGTTCTTAGAAAAAGCAGATGAATCAAAGATAAAATCAGTTGATGTCAGTTTTTGTTTTGTAAAATATGATTGAAGTCCCTCACATTATCACATTATGGTGGTATTACAGCTTTGAGGTAAAAAAAAAAAAAAAAAAGATCATTAACACAAAAGGACAACAATAGGACAGACAGACAACATGTATAACTTCCCATCACTGTGTGAAATACAGATAGTAAAGATCACCTCCAGTAGATGAAGCAGCCTCATGAATGCTGAAGCACTCAAAGCATGAATATAACGGAGGTAGAGGAAATAACTAGTACACATTCGTCTATATAATTGGTTTTAAAGTCGTGTTCACTGATTATCAGAATCCATAAAGGTTGACAATAGTCTTGCATAGTTTAAGAAAAAGAGGGAAATGTTTCAAAATAAAGGTTTAGGCCACAAATAATCAACTTTTCTAACCTTATTGCACCAAGTCAAGAGAGAACAACAATATGTTGTTATTGTTTTTAACCATGGAAATTAACACTATCACTTACTATACTATTATATGCTTACTATACTACCTATACTGACCTAACCTCCTGACAGACTCAATTTAAATGGGATTAAAATCACCAGATATTATCACAGGGAGCTTAACAGCACCAGGTTTTAAAATGGTCTATTCTTATGTCCAAACCTTCTCGCAATTTTTATGAAGTATCAAAAAATAAGAAGGATCAAATTCACACCGTGACGCAGCATACAGTCAAAACGGTCCTTTAACAGTTACAAACATCATTCATTTACTTTCCTCTAAATACTAAAGGTCCAATGCGAGAAATGTACATACACAATATATTTAGATTCATAACAGTCCATCTATAAAATAGTTACACCGATGAAACAAACCTAAAATATATAGATTTAAACACAATAGAAGTTTTTTTTTTTTTTGGTTAAACATTTACATTCATGAACTCTCAGTTATTCACTTGAGGAGAAAATTAGCTCTTTCTGTTTCTGAGCTGTTTTAAGGACACTTTTAAAAGGAGATTCACTTATCAGATATTGGACATTATTTTCTGCTGGCTGCTCCCGTTCCTCTTATAAAGAAGATATGTTCATATTTTATTTACTCAATGTTCTCTTTCCGTTACGATCTGCCCATTTAATTGATGTTCACATATTTTTGTTCTAATAACAAATGGGTAACAACTACATAACTACAGTCCGTCTTTAATAAAGTCCTCTGATGTACATCCTAATCAGAGATAAATGTATGAAACAGGTTGGCTTTAAAATCCATACAGCAGTGTTGAGCACCTTCTCCCTCATCTGGTTAGCAAGGATGAGCCAGCCTATCTTACAGCATTCCCATTCTCTAACAAACCAGTCGCTACCTACTGTTGTGTAATTTGACACCCTGTCCACACTGAGGCAGTAGAGTACCAAATGTAAGCAAATAGAAGACTTCCTTTAGGACAGGTCACTGGAGAAATTCTGTCCGCCTTGCATCCACGTCCATTCGCTCAACATCTAAGACAAAATGAAAAAGGTTGTGTTTCTTGTCGTTGTGATTAAACTACAGACCGCAAGTCTACAGAGAAAAACAACAAACCACATTAGACATCTGTTTGACGTCAGAACCACACGTGTGTGTGTGTGTGTGTGTGTGTGTGTGTGTGTGTGTGTGTGTGTGTGTGTGTGTACCTCCATACTGCTATCTGACTCCTGGATGGTGTCATGCAGCAAACTCTGGAGTCGACTCTCAAACGTCCTGCTCTCCTCCACCAGAGACTCATCACTGCAGACACACCCACAGTGATTCATGAGGATGATACCCACACATTTGATAATAGTTCATCTGTGTGTAAACAGGAGATGTATGTTTGCCTACATGAGAGGTTCTGCTGATGATATCTGTCCTATAGAAAATATCTAAGTCTCAGTTAACTTCTGTTGTTTTCTTTTGTAGCTGTCTGTCCATCTCCCCATCTGTACATCCTTCAGACCGTCTCACTATTTCTGTCTCTCTCCTTTTCCCCTGTCAGGGTCTGCTTGAGTTTAAATTAAAAGTTAAAAGTTCTGCTCCCAAGCACTTGCTCAAGTTGGTGGTGTCCTAATGTTTATTTATGTGTGTGTGTGTGTGTGTGTGTGTGTGTGTGTGTGTGTGTGTGTGTGTGTGTGTGTGTGTGTGTGTGTGTGCCCTTACAACTGCTGTAAGCTGTGTCTTGGGGTCAGTAGAGGCCCTGAAGATGGGGTACGTAAACCATCAGGAGTTCCACTCACTGGGCTGGGAATTTTACTCTGCACAAAAAAGAAGAAGATGAAGTCAGCACAGCACCTGATTTTTAAAGGAGGTAACAAGTTGTTGTGCTTTTATCACAGTCTCTTGGTGTTTGCATTTTTAGAATGAGGTGAATTTAACCGAACCTCCTCCTTCTACTGTATGACTATAATATGTGCCTTGAACTTCCTTTGTTCTTTGAACAAAACATTTTCTGGTGTTGAATCATCCAGGCTATTCCTTGAATGATACTTTACTAGAAGTTATTTGTGTCAAAGAGAGATGGAGAGATCTGGAAAGGTTGCAGAAGAGGGAGAGAGCATTCTGTGGCTCCTCAAAAGGCAATTTAAGGAATTACAACAGATACTATTTATGTAGAATCCACTGGATTATATTTCTGTGATCCAATTTCTTAGAGTACAGCTTAGATTAGATGAGGTAAATCCTACATTTCTACATGTTTAGTGATGGTCATACTTCTGCAGTTCCTGCTGACACCATATATACTATGACCTTTACTGTCATCCATCTGTTTTATCTGTTGTTGTTTCTCTGTGTTTGTATCTTCCCATCTCTCTTTCTGCTATTCAACATAGGTCTGGTTCTGCTCGAGGTCACTGCCTGTTAAAGGAAGTTTTCCTTGACAATGTTACTTTATAAATGTTGCAAAGTGCTTTGCTCATGGTGGATTTATTTGAGGTGTCTGAAGACTAAAGAGTACGGTATAGACCTGCTCTTTTTGTAAAGTGTCTTGAGATATCATTTGGTCAGTATTTGCCCCGAACAAGTCAAGACTGACAAAGTGTGTTTGTACTGAACAACTGAAATACAATTAGTGGTTGAATATAAAACAACTGTACAAAGTATGGAGTCCTAATAAAACATTTGATTGTAGCATAATACACTGCATTTGTAGTAATAAAAACATCTAAAAGTTTTGTTTGTGGAAGAGGGTGATTGTTACATTCTGTTTACATGGCATTTATGAAATGAAGACAATTGAAGACAGATCAATGTGTTGAATATGAAAGAATTCAGACACGATCGTGATGAAGCCGTGGCTGACAAAGATGCCCTCTGAGTAAAGCACAGTGCATTATAAAGCTGTTTGATGTTTTCGTTTTGATAACATATATTTACTTTGATAATATAGAACACAATAAAAACACATCTTTAAAGGTGAAGTAAAAACTGTGTCTGTGAGCAGTGTGTGAATCCTCACACAGGCCACTTTGAGCAGGTTCCACAGCTCCCTCTGTCGCCTCTCCTGCAGACTCATCAGCACCTGCTCGCTCTCTGCCATCCTCTGAACCACTCCCTCCACCTTGGGCAGCAGCTCCATCACACGCTGGACGGCACAAGGCGGTCTTACTGCATATTCACACACAGCATAATGATCCACACAGAGCATTCAGGCCATGAGCCATATTTTAATGACAATGAGACTAAGTAACTGCAGACAGGACGGCTTGTTCTAAAAACAAGTTAGTTCATTAATGCAAGGATGTGACCTTTTACACAACTATTATGTTTCTGTATTCTTTTAATTAAGTGTTTTAAATTTGTCACCTTACACTTAGCTATCATAATACAGCTATAAATGTGAACATGTCATCAGCACCAGTGTTTGTGCAGACTGATTTCATATCTCATTTAGACTGTGTGGGTGTCTAAATACTTAAATATATAAATATGATATCGCATTCTCTCTCGCAGTAGTGTCATACGGGGAAATATACAGACGTGGTTAATACCATTATAAATAATTCTAATAGTCCTAGATGACATAAAACACACGCTTCATAGTGAACCAGTAAGCTCTAACAGAACAAGTACAGAGATGGTCGCTGGTGTTGTCTGGTCTATACATTAACATGAAAAGTCTGTTACTGTTCCCGTCTTTGTTTGCCCGCTGTGTCTATAATTTCAGAATTTCACTTCCTTATAAGGTAGCTGTTACCTCACCTAAGTTGCCTTTTTTTCCTCTGGATGCGCTGTTTAAATTTCCAAGGAGGCTGCATTGCTTAGAAGTGAATTGTGTGTACACTTGCCCAAAACACATCAGTTTGCAATGAATTTTAGAACTGCACCGTTTTACCGGAAAGTTTCTGACTTTGACTAAAAAGGCAGCATTGACATCAGTGAACTGTGTGGGTGTGCAGAGTCTTTAATTACTGTTCCTCTGCCCAGCTTTGGAGATGATACAGTTGTTTGTCAGCACTGAAATGAAGTTATACTTCACTTAGGCAATGAGTATAAAAAGGTAGACATAATTTAAATGGGCAGATCCTTTTGGGAAATGATTAATTGTGTATTGTAGTTGCTTTATTTTGGTATGTATTACCCAATTAGCACTAGTGGCGATTTCAACTTTGGGTCAGTCACAAATTAGTGAATATCATAAATTTGTAAAAAAAAAAAAAAAAAAAAAAGGAGCAGAATCCCCTATGAAATCTAGCCTCAATATAGATGTTCAACGTCATCAAATAGTTAATAAAAAACGTTCAGTTTTGAACCAGTTTTGAACATTTTTTCACATCTTTTCAGAGGAAAAATGCCCACTGGGTTAATAGTAAGAAAGTAATGAGAACAAAATGTGTAAGGCTCTGATTCCGTAAGTAAACTTTGCTCAAAACTGTACTATGGAGTCTCTATTATAGTGTTTCATTTCAGTACAGAAACAATTATTCCCAGGGTTACTATCTAATGTGTACGGTACCTGAGGTGTGTGTAGAAGTCTCTCAGTTTCTTTTCATAGAACTGCACTGCCTGAAAGACCAGTCGCACCATCTCCTGACTGTCCCCTGGACACCTTTGGTCTGAACAGGGGAAGGAAAAGAAAGTTTATTTTCACATGAAAACTCCATCACCAGTGTTAGGTAAGAAATGAACAGGTGCATGCTGTCCAGACCTCGAGGTTTCTCTCTGAGTTTGCGGAACAGCTCCATGGCTTTTCCTTCACTGTGGAACAAGAAGGGACACAGAGCACAACCCCATGATCATTAAAGGAATCATTTGAGCACTTCTTCTAGGGAAGGTTTGGTTCAGACTTACAGTGTGTCCAGAGCTTCTCCACTCCTCCACGGCTGTCTCTGCACATCCACTATGTCCTGCTGCAGATGCATCATCTCCTCCTCCAGTTCACTCGCCTTGGCCTAAAAACACAGTTAAAAAAAAAATATGTTCAAATCAACAACTGACACACAAATATGCACAAAAAAACATCTACCCTACCTGATCACAGCTGATAGCTTTTTGCTCCATCTCCCTCCACACGCCAAGGAGTTTCTCTGATGCTAGAAATTGTAAAAGGTTAACATTAGTAAAGAGCAGGATAAACTGTTCCAGGTGGTTAAGTGTGTTGTCCACCTGAAGTAAACATGACAACCAAACTAAGTCATAAATAATTACGATTAAAGGACAGATTAAATGTAGCTGTAGAGTAAACTTCCAGCTATCTACAAACAATGTTTTCATGACACAGTACCGATCCCAGTGGAGGTCTGCTCCTGGTATTTGTCCATGTCTACGTGAATGCTGGTAGTGAAGAAGTCCAGCTTGGCCATGAGTCTCTGATACATGGACACCATCTCATTCTTCTGTTTGGACAGCGAGGAGTTGTGTCTCAGCAGGCTCATGCTGGAAGAGAGATGTCAAATCAATATGGTGAACCAGCTTTGAAGCATGTGTATGACGTTTGTGTGTTTTGTGCGCAGTGTGTCCTACATGGCAGCTTTCTGTCCCTGCTGCAGTCTCTGCCAGTCCTCTTTCAGGGAACGGATGGTGTGCCACGCCTGACCGCAAGTCCTCCTCAGAGGGCTGTAAGGAAGGACGCGTTTCGGGTCGCTTTCTGGGAGAAGGAACGTCACGCACAGTCAGAAAAAAACATAATGTTGTTATGTAATGCAGTCATCAAAAGGCTTCTTTTTTTTTTTTACCCAACACTGGGTTCTATTCCTGCAGAAAATAAGCTTGTAGTGCAAATACATACACATTATGTTTTTTCTCTTTATATAAAAAGTGTGTGATATGAGTGCTGAGTTGTGGTGGTTATCTTTAAGAACAACATGGGTCCTTGTCATAAGTCTGTAAATGTCTTTATTTAGCAAAGAGAGTGAAGCATACAGTATGTACTTGTTTGAATACTGTATACTTTGTTAAGCAAAAACTTTTTGCACAAAGTGTGAAGATAAGGAAGATTGGACTGAAATAGATAGAAGAGTTAAAGTAAGCTAGGGGAGCTGGTGGACTAGTGGTTAGCTTGTGTGCCCCATGTACAGAGGCTGTTGTCCTGGAAGTGGGTAGCCTGGGTTTGAATCCAGTCTGTGGCTCCTTTCCTGCATGACATTCCCCACTCTCTCTCTTTCTCTCTCTCTCCCTGATTTCTAACTCTACCCACTGTCCTGTCTCTCCAATAAAAGCAGAACAAGCCCAAAACAATCTTTAAGAAAAGCACTGAAAAGCTTCATCACTGTTTACTCACGGGCAAAGCAGATGTTGTCCGGAAGGGTGCGAGGAGCAAACTGAGGTTCATAGCTGCAGGAGGAGCGATCAAACAGGAAGACCAGAGGCAGGTCTGTCCGTCGGCCATCTATCTCCTACAAAGGAGGACAATGATATCACACATTAAAGCCTCAGCACATTAAGACAACGTGCTTTTGAAGGTACTGTGTGTATGTGGGGTTTATGTTTTGATTACTGTGTAATCTATGGCGCATTGGGTGGCCAGCCCTTGAGGCTCCAGAGCTATCCCCGCCTCAAGCAGCAGCTCCTGATTGGCTGCAAGGATGCTGGTGTCTTTTTCGATCCTCAACTGCAGATTGGCCACTGTCTCGTCCTCTGAGACTGAGTATGTCAGGATCTTAGCAGACATCATGTTCAGGACATGAACCAGCTGAGGGGAAAGAAGAGGAGACAAACACGTATTAAAACTGTGGTGGAGTGCTTCAGGCCTGTGGAAGTTTGAAATATTGACTTCAATTACAGCTACACCACAGATTTGAAGATGTTCCCTTTCTATTAGCTGTGTCTACATCAGGCCAGCTATTTGTGGGTTAAGTTCAACGAAAGAACAAAAGGAGGAAAATGAGACAAAGGGGACATAATAAGTGAAAGACATAATGCACCTTGAGCTGCAGTATGACATCCAGCTGGGAGAAGCAGTTGCTGGGTGTAGCCTCGGGGTCTATGCCTCTCTCCTGAGGAGCCCACTTCAACATCAACTGCAGCCACCTCTCCATTTTCTCTAACAACAGACTTTCAAACAACACATAACACATTAGACTGAGATAAGAAGAATATATAAGGAGCATTGTTATGTGTATGAGTGTGTGGGATGGTCACCTGTTGAGGTTGTTGGGCTGGGGCACATGTTTGGAGTAACGCACTTCTCCTAAGAGGTCCTCTTGGACGACAATATCATCGTCCTGTTTCAGCCTCAGTTTGTTGTGCCTAGAAAAGATACACATGGATTCAATGGATTGAAAGTCACAAAAAAAGGTTTGCTCTAGCATGCTTTTCTTTTTTTTTTATGATTCTTTCAATGTTTCCCTCCCATCCTTTGATCCTTGTTAATACTGACATGTAAGCATTGCCAGTTAAGCACCAAAAACTGAAGCTGATGTTCAGCAGAGTATTTTTCCACAATGTAACCCAGATCCCTCTTGACTTCATCATTTAACAAGTAACTAGGGGCATCGATGTTGGCACAACTCACGTTTCCTGCAATTCTTTCCTTTAACCACTCCTGTTTATTTATATATTCCTTGTGGGTTACAAACCAATCACGTAACAATAATATTTCTTTGGGATAAAGCTTATCATGGTGAAACCATTCACTGTCAGTGTCACTGTTTGGGTCATTTTGCAAAAGCTAGACTTGTCTGACTAGTCACACAAGTGCAGAAGGAACAAAAGTAGAACAGGAAATTTTAGAGCAAATGAAATTGTGGAAATTCTGTCATGCATCATCCTCAAACTAGGTCAGAAAACATGACTTCACTTCGTCATGACTTTTGTGACATTTGAAGGAATACGCATTTTGGATGGGAACTTTTTAAAGAGGTGTTACTACCAAGGAACAGGTTGCCAGGTTGGTAAGAAAGGGCGATATCCTGTGATACACTCAAACACCAAAGTGCCGAAGCTCCAGTAGTCCACCTTGACCGTGTACTTCTGCCTCTCTATGAGCTCTGGAGCCTGAAAACAGACAGAAAAACAAGTCCAGCTGTATCTGCATGGGAAATGATGAAAATATCATGTGTGAAATGCTTCTAGCGGTGTTTTAACACTTACTAAGTACTGAAGTGTCCCAACAAATGAGACGCAGATGCTGCTCTGGTCCAACTCTTTAGCGTAGCCGAGATCGATAATCTTATGAATCAACTAATGTCAGTGGAAAGAGTAATAAGAGTTAGTAACACATTTTCTTTTAAAATCAAAAAAAGATTATTTAAAGGAAAATTTTGACATTTTGGAAAAGAAGCATATTTGCTTTCTGGCTGAGAAGAAAAATTGTGTGTCCAAGAAAATAAAAAGTTGTTTTTGTACTTTTTCTTTTGTAGGAATTAAAGTAAAAAGAGTCAACATGATAGTCGTGAGCTTTAGAAGTGCTGATAGGGATCATTTTTAGTCTGATGGAGCCTGGCTAGCTTTTCCCCGCTCTTGCCATGCTATGCTAACCAGCTGCTGGTCTTTAACTGTATAGAAAAGATAAGAAAGTCCAATTTTCTAGCCAGAAGCAAATATCCATCCAATTCAAATGTATTTATAAATCACATGTAAATACAACACAAGTTGATCTAAAGTGCTGCACAATCAAACATAATAAAAACACAATAACAGTCACAATAAAATGATAAATGAAGTCTCTTTCTCCAATTTGTCCAACTATTCTTGAAACACTAAATTTTAAGTCTAAAAAGCCTCCCAAGCCAAACAAAAGTCTGCAGGTCTGATTGACTGTTCCTGCAGTATGTCAAAAACAAGTCTTCATGCAGAACTATAAACTCAGTACGGATCACATTGGCTGGTACACTATGGTCTATAAACACAGCAGTGTGCATCAACATGAGTATATGACCTCTTTAATATGTCTGGGCTCATTTATACAGCATTCTTTAAGTTAAAGTTTTAATAGTTTTGCAGGCTGAACAATAACATGAGTTTTTACTTTCATACAGAATAAAATAATGTGAGGCCCAATTTGCAATTTCAAAACTAGCTCAGCCAAAAGTTGTTGTTTTTTAACTACAAGGACGAATAAAATAATTCAGTTCCCCAAATATAATACTAATTTTGCAGCAGAGTTTGGTTCAGCTGGTGAGGATAAACAAGAAGCCGTGAGAGAGACGAGTCTCCTGTACTTATCCCACAGAAGCCGCACACAAACCTCCCCTCTTTGTTGTGGTTTGGGTTTATTTGTCGTAGACTGTTCAGAGTGTCTTTAACTCACTCGTTTCTCTCCCTGCTGCAGCACAATGTTTTCTGGTTTCAGGTCTCTGTGGATGATCCTCATCTTGTGGAGGTAGGTGAGTGCCGAGGCTGGAGTGACAAAGTGTATAAAAAGAGAATAAGAGGGCCGCTGGTTTGGCTCAGTAAGTAGAGTGGATTGTGCGGCCTGTGTACAGAGGCTGCAGGCGTCCAGGGTTTGAGTTCAACCCTCAACATTTGAAGCATGTCTACCGCCACTCTCCCCTCCCAATATTTTTCTGTCGCTCTCTGTATACAGTCCTGTCAATAAAGCTATAAAATGAAAAGATAATAAGAACCAGGAGAATGCAACATTTTAATTTAATACCTTTTAGAGTATGATGCAAAGATTCAGGGCTTACTCTTATTCTGCAGACTGACGTTTAAGAATTTTAGGAAAGTGACTTTTTTCCTTGACAAAAATACTGTGAACTCATGACAAAACAGAAAGACAAATGAAACAATCAAGGTCAATGTGGCCGAGCAAGAAATATTGCTTAGTTTTTTCCAAGCATGATTCTTATTATATAAGTTTCATTATAGTACCCATAATGAAACTTAGTTTTGTCAAGTGCTGAGTTAGCCTCTTTACTCTTGCCTCAGGCTGAGATACAGACCAGGCTACAGAGGTCTGATGTGCTCCCTTCTTTCTTACACCAGACGATTCTTCAAACTTCATAAAGTCTTCAGCCCTATCTGTCACTGCCTCAAGTGACGTCGCCATGGTTAACATATCAACCTGTGTACTGCTCCCTTCGGTTTAACAAAAGTCTTTCAATAACTTTTTTTTCAACATATCGTTCATGCTCCCGGACACACGTGTATCGCAGTATACTGACACAGCCTGGAATACACTAACACTATGATCAGGGTTCGAGTTACGTTGGAGTGATGTACAGGTGCACTTGAGGTTCCTGTGAGATCACTGTGGGATGAGCTCATCAGTTTTACAGGCTTGAAATGAACCGCCGGAGAGGACGTGCTGGTGTTACGTAACTCTTTAATAAGCTCCATAAGTGTGTTTACATTCTAACATGTTTAATCTGCACGAACTGAATGAGTGAGTTTTTCTTTGAACTTACATCTGAAACTCTAATGTGGCTTTACCGCTGCGTCAAAGTGTGACTAGTGTGTGTGCTGGCGAGGCGTGTGCAACAAAGCGGAACTCATAACCTTTGGGCACCTTAATGTGTTTGTGTGCATGCCTGTGCCTTTACTCTTGCATGTGAAGAACTTTAAAGGGGATCACTCATTATCAGGAAACGTCCACCAGTGGGTAACAGGAAGAGGGAGTGTCTGTGTCTGTGGGTGTGGGTGTGGGTGTGGGTCAGTTCAAGTGTGTGTGTGTGTGTGTGTGTGTGTGTGTGTGTGTGTGTTTGACTCTTCACACAACTCTAGATATATGTGATCCATTCATTATGCGTCCTCTCTCTCTCTCTAACACATCGTGTTTTACATACGATGAGCGATGAACGTCATTATTTGTACTTTAAGTTTGTGACGGAGTGTGAGTGTCCAACCGTTGACGTAAGCCTCAGTATTAGTGTACAATCACCATGGTGACTAAGAGGTTGGTGGTTTAGGGTCATTGATGACATCATGATACCGGTCACCACCACGACCGTTTCCTTTATACGACAGGAAACGCTGCCAGCTCACCCAATCGCACAATCAATCTATCACTCTCACAGTTTCAGATGTAACAGGAGAAGCAGAGGAGTGTGATACTCACAGATGTCACATAACAGTATCAGAACGGAGCCCTCCCTCATTCCACAGCAGTTCTCCAGGAGGTTCAGATACTGCAGAGAGCACAAACACGGACACCGGATACTTACATAACGTCAACTATGGGAGGAAAGTAATACAAGCTGACAGAGTTATTGAAAAAGGGTTCATTAATCTGTCTTAACTTTTAATAGGATGCAACTATTCTTCTATAGCTACTTTCTGTCTATTACATTATTTTGTGTTTATAAGGGATCAGACAAATGTTGGGGGTCATTAACAGGATGCGATTCAAGGACAAATGTAACCCAATACTTCTCTTTTGAAAATGTGCACATTAGCAGATCAAATCTTTTCTTGCACTCGTCTATGATGCGTTGGACTTCAAACAGTATATTTGGAACACTTTAATACTGGAAACTTGTGGGCTGAAAAAAAAGAGGACAGTTCAGTTTTCCGCTCACTGCCCTGAACTAACCGCTCCATCTGCCCCCAATGTGGCTGCTTAGTTTTTGACCATCTGGGATGCTTTGAAATTTTCATGACACTGTGGTTTATGATTGTTGGCACTCCCCCCTTCTCTCCCTCCCGGTGCCAACACGGTCCATCGCCTCTGGCTGCACACTCAAGATGGTTACAAATAAAAACTGCTCTAGATCTCTTCCCATGAAGCGTACAAATCAAAAGAGTCATCACAAAAGAGTCAAACGTATGTGTGAATATCTTTAGTGAAAACAATCTACACAACAGTACTGTGTTTAGTTTCAGCTGGAGAGATGTTTTCAGTAAGATTCAAATACTTTCTGACTGACAGGAGAAATCCTGCCTGCATATTATCTCATATGCTCTTTTTGTCAGGCGTCTCGAGATAGGAATTGGCGTTACACACAGTGGCGATCCTAGAGTCTCTGGGGGCCTAGGGGGGCCCATCCAAACAGCGGTCATCACCATCATCCTCTTTTTTCCTGTTTCTTTTTTCTCTCCTATAGACCGATAATTCATTTTCATTTTTACATGTTGACCTTCATTGACAAACTTTGGTCTTTCCAGCAATAATGCATGCAACGTTTAGCAGGGAAAGAGAGTGAGTACTGTCAGATGGGGCCCCAAAAGGAGGTTTCCTACTGTCGCTGCAAAAAAATGCACATTTTGGGCCACTGCTTTGGTTTAAGTTTGAGAGCCCTACTGGTCTGGGGCCCCAAGCAGTTGCCTGACTTGCCAGTTGACAAGCAGCTTACTCAAATAATGATTGATTGATTGATTGACTTTGAGCTGAAAACACATTTGTTTATGAGACATGAATCAAAAGGGATAATCACTCCCTTATTGACATGAACTAACTGTGATTCAGCACTTTGACCTTTAGGTCTCTGGGCTCACATCCAAAGTCAGAATCCACTTTTACCTTTCTCAGATCTCCTCCCTGGCAGTACTCCATGGCCAGAAGTGGCGGGTGATGCGGGGCCACCAGTTTCTTCATTTCTTCAGGGACCTCTCTGGCTGCAACAACGTTGACATGCTCCAGCCTGAGGGAGTAAAGATGAGCAGAAAACAGTCAGTGGGGCTGCTCAATATTTCTCACCGAGTTTGATCACTACTCAAGAATTCATTTCTAAGATGAACCTGGTGACACTGCTGTGATTTTAGATATCGGAGATGAAGTTGAAGTCACAGCATTGTTTGTTTAACAGGTGTTGAAATCAAATCAGAGTATGTAATCAAAGATGAGTATTGGGGAAAAAATGTAAATCCAGTCCAGACCAAAGCTAGATGTTAACCTATTAACCTTCATCTATTTGCACTGTGTTGAGAAGGCAGGTGTTTTGCTGTTTTGTTCTTTGCCATAATGACAATAAAGACTCAAATCTTACATCTTAACCACTGATTTAATTTGACTAAACAGAAGTAACAAGATACATTTAGAGGACAAAGCAGCATCACATCCGAAAACATTCATACTTTCTGACTAAATTGCAAAACTTTTCATTAGATAATAAACCCCCTCTAAAAGTGATTACATAACCTCATCCCCCTTTTCACGCCCTCTTATCTCTGACGTGCTCGGTTACTTTCTCCGACTCTCATTCTTTGTGGTTTAGACTGAAACAATCAGTCTTTGATTATCACAGCATCAGGAACATCTCCAAAAAACAAAAGGAGGAAATTGTAAGATAACAAACTCAAGTTGAAACCAGTTTGGTCAGGAAGGTAAATTACACTGTAACCAAAACATTGTCCAACATGAAGTCAGAGTGTTGTTACAGCTACAACAGCATGAGACAGATAATAGTCATCACAAGAATGATCAGTCACTAGCGTGTCTCTTTTTTTTAATAAACCTTTAGTGTTCAAGCAAACCAACATAATCTGGTGAATTAAAGTCAGTGTTTGGTATTATAGGGATCTTTCTTTGTTCTACCTCACTTTTGACCAATTTGACCAGAAGAAGAGTCAGACATCAAATACTAATGACAATAATTATGTAATGTGGGAAACGTTTATGAATAAAAACATGCAAAACAATGCAGGAGCTCCAATAAGTGATCATAAATGTAAAGTGATGTGTTTTTCAGTACAGATGCATTTGTACATCTGTGTTAAGTAGCTCTAATAATATATTTGTAGGCTGCCATGTAGGCCGATGCGTCGCCTGCCCTTGTGGTTTCTCCACGAGTTAGCGTGGGTGCACGGAGGGTTGTGGCTGTCTGAAAACAACACACTTGTTAAACTGGGATTAGGGAAAAGAAATGGTTTTCATGTTTGCACCAGCAAATAACAAAACACAGGACACACGCGCACACACACACACACCAACAGAGAGTGACCTCTCATTGAATGAAAATTGCCTGTTCAACATTGTCCTGGCCTCACAGATAGACACAGTTCAAGAGATACTTTTCAACAAACATATATAAAACTTATAACAATATAAAAAGAACTTAGTCGACCCAACACACAAACTAAAGCTTTAAATAGAGAAAACAGACGTTTGTGGAAATGAAACACACTTAAAAGCAGAACAAAATGAGGAGGCGGCACATCATCCTGTCACAAAACCACCAACACACCAAAATAACCAAAACTTACAGAGTACTCTAATCATTTAATGGCTTGAGTCACTTCTTTTACACTATTTAAAGATTCGGAATATTCATTTTTAGATGTAGAAAACTTGTGAAACAGACGGGTAAACAAACGACCCACGTCAAACTCATGAGCACGCAGCTCGTAATGGAATGCACCGTGGTGAGTCACAACGAGTCAAACCAAAACTTCACTCTAAAACCAAGAACATCTTAAAAGAACAAGGCAAAGAGAAACAAGGGAAATCACCTGCATATTTTGCCAAGTGTAAAGAATCTGCAGTGTCACTCCCTGAGGTGCATGAGAAACAGACCCTGACTCCTGAAGGCAGCGAGATGAGCTCAGGCTAAAGAAACCAAACAAAACAGTTTGAAACCTTAACATTTACAGTCTATGTTTGAAACACTTTTCGAACATCCATCTGTGTGCCTCTGAGCAAAACTGTGATTGACATGATAAAGCATATGTTTTACTTTTTGCTGTAAAGGATAATGTATAGCAAATTAAACATAATTTAATTGACGAAGGAATCCATAATTGACACAGGATTTATTTCTTCTGTTAATAAATTATGAGAATGAATTAGCATTTAGAGCTTTGTCCGTAGCGTAGTAATCTTTTAAGTATGGCCTTCTTAAGATGACGTTACTGAATTATTACTCACATTAACAGAACGTTTCCACTTACAGTTATTTAACACAATGTGACCGGTTGAGTCATTGAAGTACCTGACAGAGTTTTTCTGCCTCGTCCTTGTCACAGTCTGTTGGCACTTCCCCTTTCATTCAGCAGTCTTTAAATGCTGCCCATCCTCACAGTGTGATCTGTTCAACTTTCATTCCTGTGCCATTTCAAGTTTTTGTAGATTTTTCAATCATAGCGTATATTCTTTTTGCGCCTTACAACCTTTGTTAGAAGTCATCCCCTCTCTCACTTCTATGTTTTTTTCTCTTTATGTTCGACATGATTTTTTTTTTTTTTTAACAAAGGCAAGCTGTCGGATAAAGAAGAATGGTTTGCTTCAGGGGACGGGCCAAAAGTGACTCCTTTTTGTGTTCCAGCTCCCCCAGGGTAACTTCCACCCTCTCAATCCGAGGGGTTACTGTCATGGTGCCGAAGTTACACAAGCTCACAAAAGATGAACAAAAAAAACATCTTAAGGATACTTCAGATGGAGTTATTTTATGTCATAATAATTAAAAAAAAAAAACATATCAAGTAAAGAAAACATTAAGAGGGAAACTGACTTCTTCATGATCTGGATCTCCAGACACCATCTTTCTTTGTTTTTCTCGCTCATCTCCTGACGGCACTGCTTTACAGCGATCTGCTCCTCTGTGTCCTGAAAAAAGACACACACACACACACACACACACATATATATATATATATATATATATATATATATATATAAATGCAGGAATTTGTTTGAGTTCTCTACAAAAACAGTTTGTTAATGTTAATATTGATGGTTAATTCCCACAAAAAAACCTCCAGGCAGCATTAATTATGTAAAATAGATTCCCAATAATGATTCAACACAACAAAGTACTCCTCATACGTAGGATTTGATGTGACATTTCTCCAACTTAGTATTTTCAGAACCGGTTGGTCGAGAAAACTTAACAAAACAACATAAATGTCCCAACCTTAACCTGGAATCACTCAATGTGTTACGGTCTTGCTTAAAAAAATAACTAAATGATTATTTGATTATTAAAACTGTAGGAAAAAAAAGGTTCAGTCTATGAATAACTAACTAATGGACTCATTACAGCTGCTCTATAATATAAGAACAACATATAAGCCAAATCCCATCGAGGTCCTCAAACGACTGGAATAATTCTTCTTTTATACATAAATACATGAATCCTGCACTTTTTAGGTGCATTTCTATTCTTCAGTTAATCAGATATCCTGATGAATCATTATATGACCAACTTGCAATAAATCAATTCATCAATCATCGTGATATTATCGTTATTGTGGGCCATGCAATGACCAAAATGCTTAGTGACACAAACGCACACAGCTGCCCGATGTTGGTCATCGTTTCGATGACCAACACCGGTGCATCTCACTTCCAGTTTCTCATGGCATCATTGAGGAAAAGGCAGCCACCCTTCGTCAGATTGTTTCATCAGTGAACTAAGAATAGTCCACAATATTGTCGTTCTTCAATGAGATTTCCCATAGAGGAAGTGTAGTCATCAGAACAGCAGCCCCAGCAGCGCCCTCTTCAGTTAAATCACTTCCGCCTGCTTTTCCCATGGCCTCTTTAAGCCTGGTGGTACTGATGATTACTAATTAACTGTTGAACATACATCATTCACTCTCGAAGGATGCTTTCTTGATAACTGTACACAGAACTGACTCAAATGAAACAAGTCTATGAATCTTAATGCTGCTTCTTTAAAACGTATTTCAGAGGGATCATTTCCACAAGTCCTTTACTACAGTTCCTGACTCTTCATCACTAGTTTATATTTGTTCACATGATAAAACTGCCTGGCTCCAGGCCAGCTCTAAGGCTGCTCCATCAGTCAATGAGTAACTCAACTGAAGTTCAAAGAGAGGAAGAGGAAGGAGCAGGCGTGTATGTATTCCCAAAGTGTCCCTGTTGTAAATGATGAAACGCTACAGTTCTCTCATCCTGTGACTTACAGTGATATCATTACAATAGAAACACTTTATATTAGGACTAGGTGAGAAAAGCAGACAGCTTCCTGGTCTGATCATATTGTAATCCTTTTTACACACTACAGAATCTCAAATCCAAAGCAGATGCTCTTTATAATCACAGGGATTTTTACATGTACTGTATATGTATTTGTATTTATGTATTTTTATATATTTGTATTTTATATGTAAACATCTTTTTTTCTTTACATTAAGACATCAACTAATTTGCACACTTTTCTTTTTTCCTTTAATTCTATTTTGTGAAGCAGAAGTTTTTAAAACTGAAAAATTTGCTGCAAAATGATTTCCTCGCCTCTGACTTAAAACTCAGTCACATCTGAACAAAGAGATATGATACACACATTCTTATATTCAGCATGACTTACATCTTCTGAGGATAACGTTATCTCATCCATCATAATAAAACAATCCTTCTTACTCCAGTTTTCCTCAGTATTCACGCAAAGTAGCTATTTAACAGGCCAATTCTGAAAATACGAACATTTTTAGGTTAAATGGGCTTCAAATGAACGAAATCAAAGCAGACTTACTGACTTACTGAAGATATTCTGTGCATAAAAATGACAATTAATTGCTCTTGGTATCTTCCAAGAGGAGGAGCAGGTCATCCATTAACCAAAGAATTGGTGAGGGAAGCACTGAAATATTCCTTTACGTGAACTAGTTTAATGGATTTTTCGTTCGTGCTATTTTTTGTTGCAATTTTGTGTATTTAATAACACTGATGGTGATATTGATGTTGATACAGGAAACATCAACATGACGTACTCGTAAAGAATTTCATCTGCTAAAAAAAAAGTTTAATCGTTTATAAGTATTAACTAATATAATCCTGTCAGTTCAATTTCTCTTTATGCAGTCTACTATGAGGTCATAGTCACAAACAAAGAATCCTAAAGTGTGTTTAAGTGTCTGGACTATGTACCTTATTTTGCCATTTCGTGACATTCCCAAAGCCTCCAGTCCCCAGACGCTCCTTCCGCTCCCACGGCCCACAGCTCTGCGGCTGCTGTAGAGGGGCTCGACTCATGGCCTCAGCTGGCAGTCCTCAGCTACAACCAATAAAACAAAAACAATCAACTAAAGAGTAGGGGAACTCAGACCACCAAAAACGAAAACCCTGCAAAGTGTACGTCAGTTTTGAGGGGTCCTTGTGTTGTGCATCCTGACATACTGGGACACTTGATAAAAACACGGCTATAGTTCATGTTCTAAGTATTGCCTGTGCTTTGTCTACTGAGACAGGTTTAGTGATTCTGCAGAAAGGCCTGCTGAAGTGGAGAAACAAACAACACAAAGATATGTTTCAAGTCTAAATTTCATGTCCAATATCATAAAACAGTTATACTCTTATCCCAAATTTCAAAAAACCTAGTCCAATCGTTCTCATAGTTGTATTCCTGTAATAGTAATAATAATAATAATAATAATAATAATAATAATAATAATAATAATAATAAAAAAACGATCTTAAAGAAAGTATGGGCCCATGTTGTTAATATTAATGTCAGTAGGCCTTTTGGCAAAAGAAAATTCAAAGATTTAATGTTGCTTTTTTAACACCATTGTGACTATAGTGGTCAAAGAAACATCACAGGATCTATGTAGGTGTGATCCAGTTAAACGAGCACTCACTGTTTATAAATGTGTAGTAATGTAGTTACTGTAAACATCTCAACAAGGCATTTCAATGCTCAGCTACTTCTGTTTCAGACCCCATGCTGTGCTCTATATAGACTTATTATAATAACATTCTGCACTAAAGCATACACAAATCACTTTTATTATTACAGTGCCTTACCACGTAGTTTTTAATTTTCATGCACACCATCGATTCAACCAGCAGCAGCAGTGTCTCTGACGTAACCTACCTTTACAACTTAGAGGTTTGTGGTCTCGCGCTTCCGTGCTCTGTTTTCTTTGATCACGTTGTTAACGTGTTAAACAGGGTTACATATTAAACACTGTAGTAAGTTATTTTGGCGAACACAACAAAATCTCCAAAAACTTTCTACTTCCTGATTCTCATGCTTCCTGTAAACCTGAAGAGACCCGCCCACAAAGAGGCAGAGTCGTCTCATAGGAGCTCGACTCTGGGTCCATCGCTGCTTCTGTCATGATGATTTCTATTTCTCACTCCTGTAACCTGCATTTCAACTGACACAACCCCACTTGAAATGGACCACATGGAACCATGTGGATTGTGCAATATTGATTTATTAACAGATCGTTTCAATAATAAGGAGGCCTAGTAGTTTTGATTTTTTTTTTATATATATACATATAACAAAAATATCATGGCCTCTTGAACTCGGATTTTGATTGACTTGAGCTGTTTTCACACAAAGCCTACTTCCATAAAAAATCTCAGAAAATTCAGGTTAGCCTACCCCTGAAATCTTCCTGAGTTGCTTAAATGGTCCCTCACAAAGAGGGGTGGGGGCTTGGAGAGGTCAAGATGGCAGACAAGGCCACAGAGACACTTTAATGACCGTGTCAGTCAGTGCTGCGTGTGACTTGACTTACATATGACAGATGGAAAAGAACAGGTGAGCTGTTAAAAGTATGAATTAGGTTCATGATGTGAAGAAATATTGCATCCGGTGCGCAACGGTTGGGTGATAAACATCATGACCCCCACCCAATCGCTGGCAACTTTGCTGTATAATTCCTGCTTTGTTCACATATCGGGCCAACCACAACATCTAGTGGAGATTGTTCTGGGAAAATAGCAGGACAAATTCCAGACAAGGTGTGGCAGAAAACATGGGCCGTTTGCATTTACACATGAAACTCAGAACAAAATATATTCATTGTGCCATGTTGAGTAAGTAGTAGGAGTAGAATAAGTGTATCCCTGTGTTGCTTTATCCATGTGACCTGATGCCCTTGGGGCCTCTTAGGGATCTATTTTTTTTGGCATCAGTAAGGCATTGCTAGATTATTTGTACGGTATACATGGGAAAAAGGAGTTTTAAAGTTATTAAGTCATCCCCCCTCCTGATGAGTAGTAGTATAACTATGACATCTTTGATATAATGGAGTATCCTGTTGGTTCATCGAAAGGGCAGAAGTTTATAAAAGCACAATGACTGAGTTTACTTACCGGTATGTTATTATGTATCCTATGACTGCCACTATTTTGGGAATTGACAATGCACACTTAACACCGTATTACAACTACTCATTAAAGGCTGGATGAAGTTCAAACATACACACATACAGGCATACACACACACAAAGAGTTGTTTTCCCCGCTGGCCCATTTTGCAGATCCCGTTTTGCCAATCCCATCTCGCACATCTTGTCTCACTCTTGTAAAGATTCTGTCACTTCATAGGAAGGCCGCACAGAGGGGGGAATCCCCATTATGTTTATATTGAACATAAATATTGTGCAACGATACGCCAGAATGAATAGTATGGTTGCTTGGAAGTGCAAAACAGAGCAACAAAATGTGAAACACTTTTACAAAGCTCAAGACAAGTTTACATTTTGAAAAACATTTTTACATTTTATAAAACAAAATTACAAAACACTTTTACCGTGGACAAAACCAATTTACAAACGACTCATCGGTGTCCTTTTCTTTTTGTCACAATTGAATAAAAGCAATAATTAAAGATTTTAAAGTCAGTCAGACTTTCTCAAAACTTCAGAAAAACTCCAGAGGTTTACGGGGTGAGGTGCATGTGTTTACACAAACAGCAGAATTTTTCATCCAGACTTTATCTAAGTTTCTCTTGCCTACCCCTGAGTATTTTTGATGCTGATGGGAGAACGCAGCAAGATATTATTAGAATAATGACCTTGAGCGAGTGGTAGGGGTGTTGATGTTTATTCCCTGCAATCGACGCACAAACAAAGACTCTATGAGACCCTCGATCCTCTATGGGCTTTCTCTAGAAATGTAAAGTTCATTAAACAGCTTAACATTCTCTGACTTTGACAAATGTTATTTGGAAAGGTTGCACTTGAGAGTTTCCAGCGTGGAGAAATGACGTTTTTAATTTCATCAACTGCTGTTCCTGGATAGAAAACTGGCAACTTACTCCAGTACAATAAACAAACGTAATCTTTATTTGGTAATACATTTAACTATCAGGCTTTGCTCTGACGTAATCTGTGGGTGTGCAACACACACTTGAATGAATGAATGATACACTTTAAGAGAAATAGACTTTCCTGTTTACACCTGAAAAGTAGACTTTTTCTGACCTTTTCCGAGTCAGAATAGTAACCGAGATGGCTTCGTCAAGTCAAAATAAAAGGAATTCATAGGAATGAAAGACTTTGTATCTTGTTTTGCTTTGTTTAGTCATATAAACCTAGCCTGTGGAAATGATTTATCCATTGTCCTTGAATACATATAATTGCACAAGTGTTTATTTTCCCCGTCAGCATTCATCCATTTCATAACAGCCTTCTTCAATTCTGTCACCAGCAGTTAGACATAGTTTAAGACTGTCGCTAGTAGCAACTGCTTCTATTTCAGTTCCAAAAAAAGAACATCATAGTGACCATCAGCACTCACCAAATGATAATAATTAAATTCCCTGGCTGTTGGAAGATGTTAAAATATGTATTTCTTTATTGCCTATATTCAAATAAGCCTGTTATCTTCTGTAGACTGTGAGAATTGATTAAAAAATGATTCCGAAATTCGTTTTAAAGATTTATTTTTGTGCTTTTTATACCTATACAGAGACAGTGGGGCATGACATGCGGGAAAGTAGCCAGGGATAAGTTTTGAACCCACGTTGCCTTCTTCAAGGAATACAGCCTCTGTGCATGAGGCATGTAAACTTACCACTGGGCCACCTACGCCCCCATTTCCATTAACTGTATGTATTATCTGTAACAAAAAACAAAACAGGTGTTTGATGGACAATTTGTGTTTTATTATTTTTTTTACAGACAGCTGTTTCATGCATGGCACACCAGAATATCGGCGAGTTCATACTAGTGGGATATTTACGCCCCTGTTATTCAATTTGGCTGCTGGATTTTGCGGTATATTTACAAGGCTGAGTATTAGTCTATCATTCTACCCATTTAGCTCATACCAAGGATGATTTATTTGAGCAAACATTTTTTGTTGGTTTAATGGTCAACTGCTGTCTATTGTTTCACTGGGCCTTTTTTAATTTTGACAGTCTGAGTCTAGGAATCATGAAAACAGCCACCCACAAATAAGAAAAGAAAACAAGATATAGCCTACCTAAAACAGTTCATGAGTCAGTGAGTATCTCTGATTCCTCCACCGCATTTACAATTTCCCTTAATTGCCAGCCACTGTAATTTAAAAATCAGGCGGTTAAGAATTGAAATACTTTTATAATCACACAATACAAGGAAAAAGGAGTGTAGTAAATGATAAGCTGTGTATACTTATTACGATAGTCTTTGGCAAAGAATGAAGCGATGTGAGAGCTTTGTTGGAGTGGATTTAATGGTTTTGACTTGAGCCCTTGGTAATAGATAACATTCTTAAAATAACCACCACAGCCCAATAAAAAGTGTTTTTCAGTGTGTGTGTGTGTGTGTGTGTGTGTGAGAGAGAGAGAGAGATTTATTTCAGCAAGAAGAGGGAGTGTGCTCTAATATGACACAGATGCAAACAAATGGAACAGACGTCAAACTAACCAACACCGCCCATGTCAGCCTCGAGTGCCATGTTCGTAGCTGTTTAATATGATGTTTACAGACAATAAAAACAATGAACATGAATTATCTAATGTAAATAAAACCACTGTTGGGCTAAGAAAAGATTTAGCCATTCCTGAGTCTAAGTGGCAGTGATTTCCTGTGGAAGGGATGGGTTGAACTCAGGGAATAGTGGTTTGAACAAACGACTCCTGGTGCCAGCTGGTTCACCACGCAGATAAAATGTCACCCGCTGCCCATCACAGACTGACAGAGGTCTCTACCAGTGTGAAAAATCGATGGCTGGCCACTTTCTATGTCACTGAAAATGTACCAAAGTCTGCTTGAAAGCTCCAGTGTTTTAGGTGGTTTGAAAGTGCAAACATCACACAACATTACAAAGTTAAATACCCCTTTTGCAGGTATTATTTTATTTAAAAAGTAGGCCACATGTACCTCACTACACTATTGTAGGTCCATTTGTTGTCATCTATTTTGCTTCTTCTAGCACATAAATTATATAATCAAGAGGTTACTTTTCCCAACCACAGCATGCATCAGTTTAGAATTTCTTTTTGGTGCTTGATTATTATATAGGCCTATATTTTGTTGTTGTGGATCAATACTGCTCATCAAAAACAGCATGCTTACACAAATGTGTAGGTTGAATTGTGTATTCTTTGTCCCAAAGAATAAATACTTTGAAAAAACTTTTTACAAAGGTGTATAAAGTAAAGGCTCAATACACAATAAATATATTTAAACACAAAATGAGAATGTTTCATTAAGTTTGTTTAGTGGAGTGATTTATGTTCCGATAAGACAGAACATTTCAAAATGTTGAATAAGCTTTTAATAAACTTATTATAAAAAATCAGAATTGTAAATAACTGGCAACAATCTTGTTTTTTTTCTCTTTTCAAAAAAGATTAAAAAGGGGGAAATGATTGGGAAATTTCCTGATAATACTACCAGGTTGCATCTTTTCTGATGAAGGGAGTGCGTGATTTTCCTGGAGGTGTTGGGCTGTGCCTTCCCTCCGTGTATCGACCCCGCCCCGCAGGCTGCATCATCATCCGGCCGGACAGCCTCGCTCTCCCGCTGAGGTCACAGCAGCAGCGGCCCTCCCCCCCAACACACCGGCAGGACCAGACTGCGATAAAAGCTGGAAGCAGGGAGACATCCAGCTCAGTCCAAGCAAGAGAGAAAATCCTCTACTCAAACTTCTTCTACAAAGACACTGAGAAGTAAGCGACCCAAAAGAGATTAAACCTGGTAAGTGTTTTTCTGCTTAGAAGCTCTCGCGATATTTACACATTTGCACTGCATCAGGTTGTTTTGTGCTAAACTTATAACTTCAGTACTGATGATGGTCTTTTTGAATCGTGCCATTTTAACTTTGTTATCAGGTGATGTAAAGTTATGGGTAAATATAGGATGAAGTTTTAAACATTTTGCATTGTTATCATTTAATGTTTCATCGAAAAACACACATTTTGTTTCTCATTTGCATATGATTTAAACATATTTTTTTTATATCTGCAACTGTTTTTAAGATGACAATTTTGACAACTGATGAAAACTATTTGTATGGTGGATTAATAGTCAATATAATATGAAATCCTGCAGTAGAATAATATTTTATTTTAATTTGACAGTTTCAATGTTTTATTTGACCTTAAATTAAATAAAACAACTTTAATCATATTCATATTTAATTAAAAAAAAATACTAATGTAAGCTTAAAGCTAGAGTAGCCTGCGAAACAGTACTTTATTGGGGATCCAACATTACGCTTGATATGGTTGATAAAGTTCATTCTGGTTTTGCTTGAACTGTTTGGAGGATGAAACTTAATATAACCCTCCGCTTGTTCATACATTTACCTCTTAAACACTTTTTCACGCTGACTTCTATTCAAGCAACTTCTTCTTTACCCGTTTCCTCCACATCCAAAATTTGAATCCACGAGAATACTGTATAACTTTCCTGTACAGCATCACATATCCAACATTTTTCATGAAGTGAATCATTAACTTGTGAGCTCAAGGTCACTTAATGTTGAGAATGTGAAGATATTGTGCTCTGCTGCTGGACTTCATGTGTGTTTCTTATCTATGATACTACACAGAATCCTCTACAGTATATACAGACTCTTATCACGCTAATGAGCTGGATTTTTGCTTCTCCTGAATTCCCTCTTTGGCATCCGTCAACGCTGATACTGTATTCTCCATCACACTGATACTCTGTGCAGTTCATGCTGGGAGAAAGTAGTTAAAGCCCATTATCTGTATTACTGGCAGTATGGTCAGCTGTGTTTGTGCCTCAGACTGATGTTTGTGACTCATGAGACCTCAAAGCTGTAAGTTAAGAGTAGGTCAGACTGAGGGTAGGGCTGGATCGCTCTGTGGGAAACATAGAGGAGGATGAAGAGACAATAATCTAACACTAGAATCTGGACAAAAAAAACCTGCTTCCTCTCTGACTACATTTTGGAGCTATATCTTCATCAAAAGGCATTGATAGTGGGTTCAAGTCCCATGAAAGCCTTCTTCTGTCCCGTGCAGTGCGGGGCTGGAACCTGGGATGACTCAGGACTACTCACTCTCTTTCTGCTGACCGCTGGGATTTTATTTCATCTCTCTGTCTTTTCCCCCCTTTCTCTCTGTTCTCCCCGTCCCTTTATCTCCTTCCACGTAGCTGTTACATGCTCCAGTTAATACTCATGTCTTATGTCAACACCTGCCCGTTTGCTGCTCTGGGTTCATGTTTCTTCCTGATAAGGAGTTCAAGGCCTCATATTGTGCACAAAGCAGGGAGAAATAATGCAACAAAGGCACCCACTGTTCTTTGGGGACTTTACAGGGATGGATCACAGCTGGTTTACTGATGCTTGACTGAAAACTCCCTGAATTAATAATGCCTGCTAAGAAGCTTGCCGACATGACATTGCATGCCAAAAAGCATCATCAGCAAACATACTATACACACGTGCAAATCTCTTAACTGTAAGAACAACGCCTCAAGTGCAGTTATTGTAAAGGTTTAGTGCAGGTTTAAAAAAGTTTAAAAAGGATTTACAGGAATCCTTAAAGCTGCCAGCCTGTCATGACAAGACTGAGAAAAGTGGTTATAATCCATCCCACTAATGTTGAGCTCTCTAAGAAATATTGTTGGGAAACTGAAATCAGTGCCAGTAAAATTAAACTATAAAAGCGCTGCAATGCCTGCTGCGGCGTTGTTTCCTCCGACACTTCCTCCTGCTGCTAGAGTAAGAGGAGGAAGTCCACACTCTAAATCATTTCTGACTTTTGAATAGAAGAGAGTTAAACCATGCAAAGTTTGAACTTCACGGCTGGATGCAACTATGCTCAATTAAACTATAAAAGCGCTGCAATGCCTGCTGCGGCGTTGTTTCCTCCGACACTTCCTCCTGCTGCTAGAGTAAGAGGAGGAAGTCCACACTCTAAATCATTTCTGACTTTTGAATAGAAGAGAGTTAAACCATGCAAAGTTTGAACTTCACGGCTGGATGCAACTATGCTCCCTGCACACAGCTGAACCTCTCTCACGTTTAGACTTTGAAATTTGGGCCTTGTAACTGAAAGATGAAAATGTCTCACCTCTGAACATTACAACCTCAGCACGTTGTCATCATTACACAAGTCTGATAATGGCCCTGTGACAAAGACTGTGGTCAGGGCTTTAGACCACCACTTCCTTTTATATATGCTGCAAATGTACCCGAATAGGAAGTGAAAATCTTGCGTGATTATTTATGTTGGTCTGCTTTGTCATCTGTTGCATGTTAGTTTTGGTGCATCTGAAGCTGCTGTTGACTCACAGTCTGCTTATTGTGTATAGCTTTTACTCAACATATTCATAGATTTTGTCCATATGAATATTCATAGATTTTGTCCATATGAGCAAAGATGGATATACTTTTTGATTGTTACTATTCTTAATGGGTTGTTATGGTGATCATGGTAACAGTAGGGCAATCATTTTATAAAAGGTCATAATTCTCCTGTGAACAACTGAAATTCAAAGTTTTGACCCCAGTTAGAGAGGATCATAATAAGGTTTGACTTCAGAAGAATTAAAACATTCTAGTGTTTAATTTTTGTTGTTGCATTTTTTTTCCTTAAAATTGCCTTTTTTTATTTACCGGTTTTCAGTTCATAATGTTCAGAAATGTTGACAGTTACACATAAAACCTACTGATTTTGGATATATTTGCTTAATCGTGCTAAAATGAGCTGTTATAGTTATACTATATTTGTCTCCTCCATCTTTTTTGCATACATTTTGTTCGAGAAATGGTCAGGGCTGATTTGAATTTGGATCAAATGTTACTGAATTCTCAAATGACTAATCCTGAGAAAAGATAGGTGACACATTGGTTGCCCAAGCGATGCAGAGAGTTGTATAAATGGAAATAAATTTAAAAAGCAGTTTTGGGCTTGAGATTTTAAGATTCAATAACTTCCAGGCGTTTACTTATGCAGCACATAAAACTAAAGGAGCTTTTTTTTAAAAAAAACTGTAACCTTTAAAAAACACTTCTCAGATGCAAAAACTGTTGTAACACAGACCACAAAATCAGCTAAAACTCTGGCTGATAACACTGAAGGAATACTGTTGAAGTCGCCCACACAGGGCCTCTCCTCTGCAGACTTTAAAAAGGGTGGGATACACATATGTTTCATATCTGGTGTGTACATGTCTCTGTTAGTTTGCACGCTCGTCTGTGTTGATATGAACTCACGTTTCCGCAATGCAAATTGGCTGTACTATAGCAGGAAACACATGTTTTCAGCTGACAGGGTGGAGAGTGGACAGAGCTGAACAGCTGCACAAAGGAAACAAAAAGAAAGCTGGTGTGTTGTTGTCGCTCTACCAGAGAGGCTCAGCTCGGGGGGTAAAAGCGCAGGTCAACGGAGTATTTTATTTGTCCGAGACACAAGGAAAGTTTTCATGAGACCTGTCTGTCCTTCTCGTGGTGAGTGTGTGAATGCATGTGTGTTTAAAAAAGTCAGATCCTGAGGGGGACTCTTTGTTCTGCTGAACAATGAGCAGAAAGAACAGTAAATCTTTGTATGTATGGGGTGTTTTATTAGCTCCACGTTCCTGAGCACTTTGTGTGTGTGAGAGTATGTATGTGGGTGGCTGTGTTTTCACTGATATATAAAATCAGGGTGCTGTCTTCTATTAGCTCAGTCAGCCACAGAAGGTGAGTCAGTGGATCTAAAAAAACGTGCAGGCATGTATGCACACGGTTCCTGCTTTATGTCTGGGTCTTGGCATATCTGAGGAAGAAGTTCCCCAAAGTTTATTTTTAACACAATCTGTTTCTCATAATTGGGTCATGTTTTTGTCGTGTTGGACCTTATTCTTGAAATTCCTCACCACTTCATCTTTCAATCACCCCTCCTTCTTTATGACTCACGTTAGCTCTCATTTCACTGGAGAGCAGCTCTTCTTTACAGTCCTTTTCTTCATCATGTGACTACTTGAAAACAGAGAAGAGGAACATATCAAAAATCTTTTCCTGAAGTATAAAAGGGAAATACAACTTTGTTTTTTGTTTTTTTTTGTCTCACTACGGGCTTTCCCTTCTCCTTCCCTTTCAAATCCTGAGTCACTTCATCCTTCCACAGCTGCTGCTCTGCTCTGTTAGAGAAGGAATGCCGGTGCAGTAACTTTCTGCTTTTTATCCCTCTAGGATTGCCCTGACTGAGCCGTTTGATAAGGCAGTTTAAATCTCATTTTGAGCAGAAAGTGAAGATAATCTGCTTCCTGTTTGTTCCCTTTCGGGAAGTTGTAGATGATTTATGATAAAGAGGAGCTTAATTTAAATACAGCAAACAAGATATAAACCGCTCATCCTATCAGAGTGTCCTGCAGAGGCTGTTATAACTTCCTGTCTGAGTCAAGAAGTCAACTGAACTTCAAGGAACTGGAAATGAACTCCAGTTTCCGACATACACCCCACCTTACCCAGCCTTTCCTCTCTGGAGGTCTTCCTCAGCAGCATACTGTAGGTGCAGGAAGGAAGCTGAACATAGACGCGCTGGAGTCAGGGGTTGAAAATGTTCCTGCAATTTTTTTTCTCTGTATTTTTGACAAATTCAAGACAAAATATTGACACATAGCCTAGACGTACAACAAAGAAAGCCCTGCCCAGTTTCCCCAGATATTCACTGCTGAAATACGTTCATCTGTTCTGTGTTGGCTTGTTAAATGGTCTAAATGCTAAAGGGTTACTAATATGTATTTTTATTCTCTTTTTATTCCAGAAAACTTAAAACCACTTGAGTTGAAAACCACTTGAGTAACCATGGCAACAACACTGGTACTATTAATGTTCCTGTCTACTCTCTGCTGCAGCCTAGCAAACAATGTGAGTACTACATGTTTCTCTCCCCCCCCCGAGCCCATTAACTACAAATCCAAACCACACTTGACAAAGGCTTATCTTTACACACAAAAATTCTCTTGGGGTCTATAATCTCTCTGGGCAAACATGGAGTCATATTAATGCATTTCTGTTTCTGAATGGACATTTAAAGGATTTAGGTGCAGTCTGCTTTGAAACCGCCTCCTCAGTGATGCCTTAAAGGTGCACTATGGCGTTTTAGTAGAGAAATGTGAAAGTTGGAGAAATGTACAGATTCTGTGGTATATGTTCATAGCTCTATACACAAACTGTCCTCAGAGGAAAAATGTGGTCTCTGGAACACTGTTTGAAGATGAAATGCTTCACGAGATGTTATGGTGTTGGGACCACATCAGTGAAAGCGTAACTCTCCTGGTAGCTTTTTTTTTTTTTAGCTCCAAACATTGTTCCAGGAACCCATTTTTTTCCTTTGAATACATTTTTTTTTATTTAGTTCAGAAAATATAGCATCGAATTGTTTCAGTTCTCCAACTTTCAAATTTCACTATACCAAATCTACATAGTGCCCCTTTAAACTTCAATGTCAGAGCCTCAAGAGTCAGCTGCCGAACAGTGACATTTAACTTGACTTTATATTTAAATAAACGTTTGATAGATTGCGATAAATGAGCAAGTCACTGCGTAACGACTTTCTCCTGGTTTACTTTCACAGTATCTTAAAGGAATGAAATGATCGCTCTGTCCGCCTGAGTTGGAAACCACAGCCATGCAGCAGTCCCCATGCACCACTGCTCTGTGTTTAATCGTATGTTTTCTGTTTCAGGTGGAGCTGCTCCGCACTAAGAGAGGGACTCGTTTTTACAGAGGTGAGCCTGACAGGCAGCCTGCTAGACGGACGCTTTTGATTATTCATGTCCTGAAGTCTTCATCTTCCTCTGACACCTCCTGTGAGCTCCATCACACTCCTGTTTGTTTTTCATAATAACACCACCCTCACCACCACCTCCTCCACCTTCATCACAGTCTGTAAATTCACTGTCGTCACTCACATGTTTGTGTCCCTTCTTTGCACCTTTACGTTTGTAACCTCTTTTACGTGTTACAGTGATCACGTTTTCTGTGCGTCTTGGCTGTATACTTACTGTTTGTGTGTTTTTGTGTCTGTTTGCGTGTGTGTTTTTCAGCACAATGTGTTGATAGTGAGACGTCAGCTGTGCGTAGTTCTGGGGACACTTGGCTGCGATGGAGTGGACAGCGTGTGGAGTATTGTCGTTGTGCATTGAGAGGGCGAGAGCATTGTCATATTGTGCCCGTTATCAGTGAGTGTGACATGGATGCAAACACAAGCACACACACACACATGTGAATTGGCTGTATACTTATTTTGCCTGCAATTAACAGAACGTAATCTTCTATTTGTTCATTTCTCTGTCAGACGTCGTGTGCCCTTACTGACCTCTCTGTCTTTATTTGACCTGTAACGCACTGCTGCAACCTCATGATTATTTTCTTTGTTGGCTTACCTCAGTCATGTGTCCAGATCCCTGTTATTCCAGTGCATCCAAATGAAGAGCTGCTGGGTTTTTAAGTGGGCGTAGTTTAGTCTGAGATTGTTTGAAACACTCATGCCAGGGGAGCCCTTGTGCGCACTTCACCCCCATTGACGGATTCTGTGAGACATGACTTGCCCCTCCCTCTGTCAAATTACAACCACATTTTCGGTCTGCTAAACTGCACCGCCTGTGAGCTCAGAGCACCGGGAGCGAGCTGGCTGCTGTTGTTCTTAACGCTAGCCTTTAGGAAATGTTAAAATAATAAATGAGAAACCAGACTGGAGATGGAAGAAAACCAGTTCTGCTGTAGAAAGAAAGCCTCGGTGTGTAAGAGAAGAGTCAGGATGAGCCTTGGACACTGACATTTGTATACTTCTCATGTTTCTAGTATGTCATATATGACACACTAGACCAAACCCACAGTGTAATTGGCTGTATGCGCAAGACGTCTAATCAATCATGTCTGGATCATTGAAATGCTTGATTTACCGAGAAACTGTATGATGCATGACTGACTAACAGGCTCCCTGTCCTCCCCTCCAGACTGCTACGTGTCCCAGTGCTATAACGGAGGAACCTGTAAAGAAGCCGTTTACACGTCAGACTACATCTGCCAGTGTCCTCCAGGCTTCAGTGGGGCTCAGTGTGAGATCAGTAAGTACTCGACAAAGGCTTACTTTTAGGTTTACAATCTAACAAAGCAGCTTATTTAGCAGTTGAAGAAGTTATTTTCACAAAATGTGAAAAAAGATTCTAAAGCTTCCCTCTGTTAAGTGATCTGAGATTTGTTATGATTAGGCGATACAGTATATAACTAAGAAGTGATTGACTGGTTAAATGTAGAAACTAGGAACTAGGAAGGAATGGTTGATTATTTATTCTTGGTTCATCAACTGATCAATGAAGTGACTTCTAGCTCAACTTTAAACTGTAATTCAGTTTTCTGTGCTGCCTCTAGAGACCTTTTGTCATCCTTCTGTACTGGCTATTATTTTTTTTAAACTTTAAAAGCAACAAAAAAAACAGTTTAATTGAGTCTAAATCATCATGGTCGGTGACACAATAGTGATTAAATCGTTCTATGAAACTGTTAATGACTCCAGATAAATTCACAGTCTGACTGTGTGACTCAAACAGAAGGTGTCATAGGCTCTGCGGTTTGGAGAGAAGAGAACGATCATAAACCATGGAAAGACATTCTGGGACATAAATGTTTTTGTTTCTGCGGGTGACTTTTTGAGGCCTTAGGGACACTCCGCCCTCTCAGTGGGATAATAATACAAACACCAGCGGTCACATTTAACTGATTTCAGTGACAGAGTAATGAGTTCACATTGCCAGCCTCAATAAATCTGATTGTGTTTACGATCATTATGGTGTATGTTTTGGAGAAAATACAAAAAATGCCATTAGAACACAAGTTGTAAGTTTAATGACTTCTATAAGAAATAACAATGTTTTCATTTTCGTCCAAACATTTGAATGGCTTAAGATTTTCCAGAACCAATAAATAAGTTTAATTGTGTCACAATAAATAAATTAGGCCAGTTATTGGAGTGATGTCAGTCTTATATAAATGAGCGGCTCTATATTCAGTTTAACTTTGTCCCTTTTTCCAACAGACACCAATGAGAAGTGCATCGCGGGAAAGGGTGAAGGCTACCGCGGCACATGGAGCTCCAGCCGTTCAAGATCAGAGTGCATTAACTGGAACTCCACTGCTCTGAGAGGAAGGAGGTTCACGGCGAGGAAAAATGATGCTGTCAGTCTGGGACTGGCTAATCACAACTTCTGCAGGTGGGTGACCACGGCATACTGCTTTTGAAGGAATGAACTGCTATTAACCAGGGAAGGGGTCTGACTAACACCCAAAATACTGGTCAAATTATAATCAACTCTGCTCGCAGGATGCACTAACTATTCAACTTATATGAAAGGGCTCAGATTATCAAAAGCACAACATACAGACAAGGCAGGTAAACCATACTGTATCATAGAGGCTGAGGTCACCAATACCAATATTCCACCAATTCCACAATTTCCCAGTTTGGTCAAGATTATATCGAGAGAAAGTAGGCCCTATAGCTCTGCTCGCAGGATGCACTAACTATTCAACTTATATGAAAGGGCTCAGATTATCAAAAGCACAACATACAGACAAGGCAGGTAAACCATACTGTATCATAGAGGCTGAGGTCACCAATACCAATATTCCACCAATTCCACAATTTCCCAGTTTGGTCAAGATTATATCGAGAGAAAGTAGGCCCTATAGGTACAGGTGGACTGAGAGATGAGAGTTGAACAATGACAAAATCTTTTGTTTATTGCTCTTTTTTTTTTAGCACAAATATGATGACTCAGATTCCTTTCTTCCCCCCCCGCTTTACAGGAATCCTGACATGGACAACACTCCTTGGTGTTACATCTATAAAGGCACTCAGATCACCTGGGAGGCCTGTTCTTTGCCCAAATGTCCTGAAGGTACAGCCTTGACAAATGCCAATAATCTGAAATGCCAGGGAGTAAACTAAACATTTTCTTTAACACTTGGCTTTTCTTTGTGTTTGGGCGCAGAGAAGAACCAAGAATGCGCGCAGGGCTCCGGTCAGTCATACAGAGGAACAACATCTGTCACTAAGAGCGGCTCTCGCTGTCTGCCGTGGGACTCTCCTGCTTTAAAGCGTAAACTTAACAATGCTTGGAAATCTGAGGCATTGGAGCAGGGGCTGGGCAGCCACAACTTCTGCAGGTAGAGATGCCAGCTAACACAAGATTATTAATTTAAATACACTTGCATACAAAAAAAGATCACAATATCTCATTCTTCTTTTAACCAACAGGAATCCAGATGGTGATGTAGGTCCATGGTGTCATACCTACAAGAATATGCAGCTGACCTGGGAGCTGTGTGACATACCGAAGTGCTGTGAGTCCCTTATTATGATGGTTTAATTAAGCAGCAATGGTGAATCAAAGAAGTGAGATTTACCCAGTTCATCGTGTTAAGTAACTAAAACCTTCAACCTCTGTTTTCCAGTGACACGTCCATCAGTCGCCACCACTGTTGGTCCTCGTGCCCCCACAACTAACAATAACGGAGGTGTGACATCTTCCTATCCACTAAAATCATCCACGGTCCATTTCTCATAATGAATGTTGTGTGTTGTCATTGTACTCATATGTAACTGTCCTCTCTGCAGCAACTTGTGGTCAGCGTTTGGACAACAGCCTCAATCACCCGGCGTTCCGTATGTTTGGTGGCAGAGCTAGCGACATCACAGAGCAGCCGTGGCAAGCGGCCATTAATGCCTACCAGCCCCGTCTCAAAAAACACTTTCACGATGTGGAGGAGTCCTCATTGACTCCTGTTGGGTGCTGTCTGCTGCACACTGCTTTGAGGACAGGTAGGAATTCTTCACATAAACACACACAACTTACATCATTTTTACCTGTTTGGAATGCAACATGCAAATATCCCCTTCTCTTGTTCAGTGTCAAAGCAGACAAATTGGAAGTGATTTTGGGAAGAACGTTCCGGAAACAGAATTCCAGCGGCGAGCAGATTTTCAAGGTGGAGAAGTACTGGATCCACGAGAAATTTGACCATGAAACATTTGACAACGACATTGGTGAGTAGACATCTCAAGAGAAAAATAATCAAATGTGACATTTTCAGAAACTAAGACCATCACTATTTGGATAAATGGTTTTGGCAAACTGGCGGCAATTGTTTTGGCACACTCACCCAAAGACACTGAGGAAAGTTAAATGAGACTCTTCAAACAGCCACTTATCCCCGAGGGGTGATGATATGGAACATTAAGAGGGCAGCAAAGGCTTGTTAAAACTTGAACCCAAAACCTCTCTCTCTCTTCACCCACATTACCCTGACTTTCCACTGGTCACTTTCCACTTGCAGCTCTTTTGAAGCTTCAGACGGACATTGGCATCTGTGCTATAAATTCTCCGGAGGTTCTTCCTGCATGTTTGCCTGAACGTGGGCTGGTGCTGCCCGACTGGACCGAGTGTGAGATCTCCGGATACGGAAAAGACTCTGAATGTAAGAAAAACATGCCGCCTATTCGTAGTACTGTGTACATTTTTCATGACTGCCTTTTTGGATTTGTGTATCTATCAAGTAAACTGGTGTTACTTGAATGACCAGCAGAGGGCAGTGTTAGCTTTTCCATAAACCTTCAATTGCTATCTATTTGATCATGATATCCTGAATCCACTCTCTCCACAGTTTCAGCAGAGTACTCGGAGCGTGTGAAGAGAGGTTACGTTCGTCTGTGGCCCAAGGAGCGCTGCATCTCGGAGGTTCTGTCTGGACGAACAATTACCACCAACATGCTGTGTGCAGGTGACACCCGAAACAGGGACGATGCTTGCAAGGTGAGAAATATTTCACAAAATTCCTCCTTAAATCTATGCTGATAACATTACTCTAATTTGAACTTCTTTTTTTTTTCCTGTCTCTGTCCATTTTGCTTCTTGAACCTAAATCACAGGGGGACTCTGGTGGCCCACTCGTCTGTCGTAACAATAACAAGATGACTCTGATGGGTGTGATCAGCTGGGGTGATGGGTGCGGGCAGAAGGACAAGCCAGGGGTCTATACCCGTGTCACCAATTACATCAACTGGATCAACAAGAAGATGAAAGCAAACCTTGTCTAAAGTCAGAAAGACTGCAAAGAAGACCGTGTTAGATGACCATACCCACAACCCCAGTGGGTTAAAGAGTAAATGTTGATGTGTTTATCATCCGGATGATAAGCAGATAGATCCATAGGACTCTGTGTTCAGAGCTAAATCCAAAGTGATGGAGGTTTTTTTAATGGAGCCGGATGACTCCTACAGAAATGCACAAGACCTCAAACCTGAGTTTTCAGGCTCAGTGTTGTTTCTTGTTTTCTGTTCTTTACTCTCCTAAAAGTGAAAGCATATTGACAGAAACACAGGACAAGCTCTTGATCTTCATAATCGTTGATTTCTTTTGGTGTATAAAAAGAGTTGATGTGTTTTCTCAGTTACACATCATAGGAAGTTATTGAGGACAATGAGAAAGCATTATTAATCAGCTCTTATGTCTAGCTCTATGCTGGTTTACACAAAGAAATCACAGATGTAGACTTCAGGTCAGTAGCACTTTTAATCCAACGTAAGCAATTACTTTGCACAGTAGAGTACATCACATATTAATGTAGGCACATTTTAAAATCTTTGTCTTTGAGATTAAAGGCTTATTTGGTGTAACCAGTTTAACACAAAAAGTTAGCCTTCTTTAGTGGGTTGATGGGATCAGAACCCCCCCAAAAAAACATCTAATCTGCTGGTTCAGATTCTGCTTAATTGAGAAGTTTTAACTTATTTAGCTTACTTATAGTTTCTTGTAGACAGGAAGAAGGTGGAAGCAAGAAACTTCAGATACTAACTCCATTCAACAAACCTGTGACCGGTTCTTCAAGCTTCAATATGGAAGAAGATGCAAACTCTTACTTGTTCTCACTATTTTTAAACCAAACTTCAAGAGCATTTCTACAACAAACTCCTGGGTTGAGCCCATCATGTACATACCTGTATAATAATTTTATATTAAAAATGACTGAGGGGAGTTAAATCTTCTCTGTTGAACAATAAACTGCTAATTGACTGCAAAGCTGATCTACTTAACTCATTTTCCTATGACTGAGTTGAAGATGTTTCACTTTTTTATTTATGTTTTTTTAGACTGTTTTATAGGAAATACTTTTGGACTGTTTGTACTGTAGTTAAATAATTTATTGTCATTGTAACCGAATATTGCAAAAAAACTTCTATGTCAATAAATAATACTATAAATAAATATTTTATGTGTCAAGCTTTTTAACCTTGTCATGTTATTTATACTTATACAAATATTACACTAACAAAGCCAAAGGATAATAAGGCTCATGGTATCTCATTGTGTACTTTGTCTCTTTGTCTGTAACTTTATTTTTTTTGCTGCTGACTGTCTTGGCCCGGCCTCCCTTGGAAAAGAGGTTCTTAATTTCAATGGGACCAACCGAGTTAAATAAAGATAAATAAAATGATAGATATGAGCAACAAAATCAAAACCAGACCATCAAGAAGAATATAGATTATTTCTACAAGGTTATTTGTGTTATATGTGTGATTATATGTGTGATAGTTTGCCCTTTTATTGGATAAAATAATCAGCCCTTTATGGTGGATTCCAGTGGAGAAAACACTGTATATGGCTAATAAGGTCCCCTTTCAGCAAAAATGCAATAATTTGACCTATAATGTGTCCTTTTTGTGGAAAAGAAATGATACAGTACCCTCACTGCCCTTCAGGGGAGACAACTCCTCAGGTGCCCTACAGAAACCGTCATCGGAGGGGATTCAACAAAGTTCTCTCTAGGGGCTTCTTAAAGCAATCATACGGATACTTTGTGCATGTGCCTGGTGCCCTTTTAAAATATTTTTAACATAGGCAACGTATGGGAGGGATATTTGTGCATGAAAAGTTAATAATTAATTTACATTTAGATTGCAGATAGAATACAAAAATGCTTTATTGACTGGTTGAAACAAAATGAATTAAATTCAGTTGGATAACAGCCATAGGCAGGGACATTTGGAGCCATGTCTGAAATGGGCAGTGTCTGCAGCGGCTCACTTTAAGGCAGGTACACAAACAGTAGGTGAGGCTTTCTGACTGACACAGACAGGAAATGCAAATGAGATCAGTTAGAGCTGCTCTTCACACTCTCTTTGTATTGCTCACATTCAATCTTCAAACCAGGCATTTGCATCCAAAAATTGAAACAGATACATGTCCTCATGACTTGGGCTGTTAGACTCGACCAGGAACCATGACAATGGTGAGATGCTGTTTCATTTGAGTCTGATTTTGGGTTTCAAGCTGTGTGTGAGTGAGAAGGAAGTGAGCTGGTGCTGTTGACGGCAGAGTTTTACTGCTATAATTACTGAATCCTTTGTAAACCTGTTTTTGGTTCTATTTCTTCAGAATGGGATGAAAGACATGACATCAGCTACAGAGTTGTGACTGTGTGGGAGTGTGACGACAAACAGAAAAAAAAAAACAGATAACGTGTGTGTGCACATAATCTAAAGTCAATACACCGTTTACACACGTTTTCTGAAAGGTCAAACACTTTATTTTATTTATTGTTTTGGGAAAATAATTCAACTTGAAAGGTGTGAATTAGCTGACTGAAGTTAAACATGTTTGACTTTAATCAAACATACCGGATTTAAAAAAAAACTGGACCACAGTTCCTGTAGGTGATATTCCAGTTGTGGACTTTATTCTTTGTACATTTTTGAAGATTTCAGAAGTTTCTCGTGTATTAATTAAGATGAACTAGAATATGCTTTTATTATCTGAAATGTTAAGGATTTATATGTTCTAGATATCAAATCATGTGCCAGCAAAAACTGACTTTTAATTTGTGGGATTTCAGCAAGGTTCTTATTTTACATTTTGGTGTGTTTTTTCCCTGCCATTATTGTTTCATTTCTCAGAATGTAGTTTCAGTAGACATGCCCATCCAACAGTTTTGGGAAGTGCGGTAATTCACTCAGCGACTGATTTTGACATCAGTCTGAAAAATTGTCTGAATTATTGTCTGAATTTACCAAATGTCTGCTTGCACAGTTTCCTCTTTCTACCCTTCCTGTTAACATTTATACCACAGCACACACAGATATCTTTATTTACTTTTTGTCTCACGAAAATACTATTCTCTGATGAAGTTCTTGTCTCTTGTGGCAGATTCTTTTTTTACTCTGGTCTGATGTGACAGATATTGAACTTCACTTTTGTCTAGCACCGAACAACAATGTAGTGCAGATAAAGTTCTCTATACTGTATGTCTTACTTTAAAAACAAATAATAAAAAAGAATAAGCGCTGAATACACTGAAAGGGCAGGGCAGACTGTGTGCAGTAGTTTCAGTTTCATGTGAAATTACAGCATGAACAATCACTTTCATTTTGGCTGTTTAAGTTTTATAAATGATAATAAGCAAATAAAGTGTCTTCATGTCCCTGTCAAGTAAAAGAATTCAAATCCTACTATGGTAGCATATTATGTTGTAGTATTATCCAAATAATATTTTTGTTTTTGGTAATACAGATACTATTTCTATTGTCTGACTAGAGAAACATTTGAATGATGTTCAGTTGGTCTTGTTCTTGTTTGCATCCGATTTAACTTCATGGTCACACCACTCTTTCCTCCTGTCGACCTCCACAGCCACTCAAAAACCTTTTTTCCACTGAGAGTAGTACAGCTGTTTCTAAACTTCCTCATCAAGTTCAGCACTCTGGTTGACACAAAGCAGAATATTTTCACTGTAACATAATACGATATTTCAGGAGATACTGCATTAAGGATCATAAATAGCCGAAGATTACTGTAGTTCTTATGGTACTTTTGATCACCTCTCACATGCTCTTTATTTATCCACAGTGAGGGAACTAGTTACAGATATTTTGTGAGCCAGTGAGAGCGATAGAGACTCCAGTCAGTACCGCCCCCCCTCTCCCTTCTTGTCTCACTGTAATCATTCACTTTACATCAACACTTCCTCTATGGTTGCTAGGCACTGTAGGGAATGCAGGCGATACTGTACGCCCAACTTCCTGATTTCACTTGACGCTTGTGTTTCTCACAGGCCCAATCTCGATGTCCAACCCTCACACACTCATTGACTTTGGTGAGCGTTCCCCGTAAGTGTGTGAGGGCTTAGTGCTGTCCCACTGTGACATCAAAAAGTGTTTGAGGGATCTCTCGCTGACTTTACGAGTCCTTTACGCACCCTGTCCGTAAGTGGGCATATCTGCAGACTTAACGTGAGGGAATTACCCATAGTTCATAGCATTGTGACGTGAAACATATGATTTCCCAGGGAAACCCATAACAATAACAACAACAATAACAGAAAAAAGGTAGAGACGGAAAAAAAAACAGTAAGGTGAAAGCACGCTCTATTTACAGTCTACTAAAAAGTTTCTTTGGAAACTACAGCAAATTCGGAACTCCTTTGCAAGTCTATAAACAAAAACAAGAGAGACAAGAGCATATTAGTCCTGTTATATTTACAAGATAAGATTAACCTTTATTTTTCCCATAACTAAGACATTTAGGCCTAGGTTATATAGCCTATAGGCCTATTTTGAGTAGCCTAGAACTTTTTATAAGCGCCATGGCTGTGAGTGAGTAAAGTAGAAAAACATAAAATAAGCTTTTGCTACATGAAATCATGCAGTCACAGTTACAGATAAGTTGCAAAGTGCTGTTCCATTTGCATTTAACCATTGGAGCCTTCGCAGCCTCATGCACTCAATCACTTTCCAGGTGACGTCAGTAAAGTCAGTAAGGGCTCAGGGCTTAGGGAGGACATCGAGATACAGCCTCTATCTCATAGCAACCTCAAAAACAAGCCTATTTTACAAATTAATTTCTGCTTTAATGCAGATTTGATTGCAAAGCATAGTTTCAGCAACCAAAGTTATAGAGATGAAAGTCAGGATGATACAATTATAATGACTACAAAGTTAAAATAACTCTGCGCTTAACTTAAGAGAAAGTCTCTTTAAACTTAAAGAGAAGAGTATGTGAACAAATAATCAGGGACAGAACTTCTTTTCCTGTCCTAAATGATCTTTTGTATGAAATAAAAGCCCTACTGTGCATCCTGTTGACCTTGCCCCCAAAACAGTTAATGTCTCAGTGTAAAGACAAAGCTAAAGCATAACCAAAATAAATCATTACTTACTCTGCAAGCAGTTGAGTTTATTCTATGGATGTTACATTTCTTAATAGTTTTCCAAAAACGTTTTTGTTTTTCAGAGCTTCTTCGGGAAATTTAAAAACCCGTGAGTATTGTGCCATTCCAAAAAGCGCCTCACTTTTCCTTTTGTTGTGTTTGTGATGTGTTCTCACCTCTGCTCTCTCTGCAAAACACAGCGGGCCTCCTGCTCCTCCCAGAAGGACAGGTGAGACTTGATCAAACTGTGGAAAAAGGGAAAACTATTTGGATCCCTCCTGTCTTTATTACAGTAACACATAACAGGTTATCCTTACCTTTTTTCAATGTGTGTTTTTTTTTTTCAGATGACAATGCAGGGTGGCCACAGGATGAGTTTGTAAGTTACATGCTCCTTTATTTGTAGGCTACCTCCAAAAGTTTTGCTGCTAAATTAGGCTGCTAATGAGATATTGTATCTATCTCATTAAATCAATATTCTTGCCACCTTTCCCATAAGCTCTGTTGCTTGTTTTTGTGCTTTTCCCTATTCAGTGAAATTAAGTTCTTGAATTCCCAGTTTTACAGTAACAGTGGTGGACAAACAAGGCTGAAAACTTTTCAGAAATCGTTCAACAGTTACACATACACGGTTGAGCAAAATGACCTTAAAGTAGGCTAAATTGTTTTTTCAAACAATACAGAATATTTAAAACAATCCATTAATTATTCAATAAAAATCATATACTACTCAGTTAAGAGGGGCTTCACAAATATTGATAAATTGAAATAATTAAGAAAATATCTAAAATTAACTGAGAACTAAGATTTGAGCCACGTGACCCTGCCTAGGAAGGCTAATTAACTTGGCACGTGAAGGTTAGGCTGTGCACATGAGGCTGACACCAAAAAACAACTCCGGTAAATAAAACTAAGAAAAACTCTCATAATCATTAAATAAATACTTGAATGACAGTGAGTAACACTTTGAAAACAGGAGCTGGTTCGGCAAGGAATGACCACAGGAAGGAACCTACAGGGGTCCGAATAAGGTGTCTATTGTTATGCCCATCTATACATGTCCAGTAAGGGGCGCTGTTCTGCA